GGGGATTGGTAGGTGGGGTTGGGGGAATGTGCAGAGGTTGGGCATTTGGTAAGCTTGAAATATCTGGGCAAGATCAATTTGTTTTAGTGGTTTAACAATAAAAAGTTTATAATTTCTCCTTAATATACTCTCCATTGAAATTCATGGAAATTTGAATTTTGAAAAAAGCATAAGGGTGAATTGTTCAAAAAGGATCACACATATTGGTCAGTGACACGAGATGGTACAGAGAGAATTCTGACTCATACCATTTTCTCAGGGACACTTTGTCACGGTGGAAACTCATTGTCACCCTGCCCATCCTCCTATTTCATAACACAGTGAGGCGGTCAATAAAGTCTGTTATTATGTCAGTCAGCAGTCAGCAGGTTCATGAATGTATCATGTGTGAAGGGTAAATTGCCTTAAATTCGAGTCGGTAAAACAAGACCTTCAATATTAACATGATTACATGCACATACAAATGTATTATGTATGTTACACAATAAAAGGTGATGTGTGTGTAATGTATCTCTACATTGTTACAAATCCTTCAGTTATCTTAAATCTTACTACAGCTGTGTCAATATTGAAAAATGAGTGGATTTTTTTGGTTGTTGTGATTTTAACATATATATCTAAATTTTATTGATTAAAAATGATCCAGGTAAATAGTCAAACTGTTTGACCTTCATCCAAATACTGTTATAATGTAGTAATTTGGCCTCCTTTCAGTAGAACATAATAGTGTTTCCCCAATAAATTACAGTCAAACTTTTAGAGATCAGAGATTTATAAAGGGAAGCATAATATAATTTGTGAAAATATGGAATATTTTTCGCAGAGAGCTACGCAGGTCCTCCAAGTCTTGGCAAGAAGTATGAGATTGGCCGAACCATCGGGGAAGGCAACTTCGCTATTGTCATGGAGTGTATAGACAGGTAACAATACTTTATTTGGGATTTCCATGTAGTTATAGCATTTCTAACAACACACGAATTTGATGATGCTGTTCTGAGCCTAATGTTTTACTTTTGTTAAAGCCCTAGGGGTTTATCTCATAAAAAGGAGATAAAAAAGGAATAGTGAAACTTGTATACAGAAACCACCTCCAGGAAGTTGATAACAGAGTCTCCTAACACAGGATTAGTTCACATGAAAGTACACAGTGAAACCTTGTTACACTGTCACCATTTGTCAAGAGAAACTCTGGCATTATACATAGGGGTTTGGTAATAAATTAAGGAAAACCTATAAGGGCTTCTTAAGAAAAAATAGAAAACGGGACCATGAAATATGTTGGTGGTAAGGGAGGTGGCCAATGGAACAATATATATGTAAGTTTTACTGTACATTTGTACATGTAACTGTGACGGGAGGTTTTAAATGTGGTCTCTTAATACAGCTGGTCCTTTGAGCAGGTTGTGAAATTAGTCGTAACTTCTGTGTTGTTTCATCTGAATTTTAACTGCATTGGCAACTATGTTGATTATTCAAATTAAAATTATATTTCAACAAGTGACATATATTTCAGTGTTGCTTATTATATTTAACTTTAAGAAATTGTCATATTGAAGGAAAAAATCGTAAAATATTTTTGTCTGGCTCTATTTTTTTCAACGAGGAAAAAGATTGAAATTTAGGGGCTTATAAAGAAACATTGATGACCTTTTGATAAGTGACTTTTAATGACCTTTGATGACCTTTTTGCAGGACAACCAATAAGAGGTATGCCCTAAAGAAGATTGATAAGACCAGGTGCAAAGGAAAGGTAGGTGCAGGAGTAATGTTGTCACAGTGATAAGTTATGTATTTGTTATGGAACTGGGAGTTGATCTTCATATGGTCAGTTGTTGGTTGCTAGGAGAAACAAGAAACTGAACAGCCATCACCCAGAAAATTACACTTAAAGTGAAAAATATGATCGTCCATAAAAACTTCCCCATAAAAATGTGTTGGACATATTCTAAAGTTGCAATTTTTGTATCCTCTTTTCCTTTTTTTTTATCTATTTCTGTCCTAGCTACTTTTGTAAATATGTTTTTGGTGACATTTATTTGTTCAGTGCAGGATTTTAAGTGATGCATGCCATATACAAGTTTTGTATATCAAACAAGTTATACTGTACATAAATGTAAGATGTAACATTTGTAATGAATTCCATGATCTGCCAAAAGCATCAGTGTAATTTATTTTGAAATCCTTACAGGAACAGATGATTGAGAATGAAGTGTCGATCTTGAGGAAGGTCCAGCATCCCAACATCATCATGCTGCTGGAAGAGTTTGACGCTAAGGATGAGCTGTATCTAGTCATGGAGTATGTCAAGGTAAGGTTATGAGCAGTACGTCGTACTCAACCGCAGCAGTAAGGCACATTTAACTCATTCACCCCTGAAGACACATTTGAACTCTTCCAACTCAAAGGTTGGAATAGTTCATTATGAAATTTCAGGGGTGAATGAGTTAACGTTCTTACGAACCTTTACAACAAGTTATTTCGACTCTAATGTCAAACAAGGTTCACCATATTGTTTACTCCAACCCTGAAGTAACCATTGGTGTGTAGGTTATGGTGTTTCAGTGAGATGAAGCTATAAAGTGGTCTATGAATGGCCCCCATCATCTGTAGTTACCATCTGCTCATGACCTTAGCTATTACCAGGACATAAAACCAGAGGAACCAAATATTGATGTTAGGTTTAAGTGTGTTCAGGTGCACATCAGTGTCTTTAGTTCTCTTTGTTTTGTACCGTGTCTGATTTGTGCCTTTCCCTTGTAACAAACCTACTTCTCTTTGTTTTGTACCGTGTCTGATTTGTGCCTTTACCTTGTAACAAACCTACTTCTCTTTGTTTCATCTATTCTCCCTGAAAAGGTGAAAAATCAACAACCCTTACATCTCTTTGGTGAAAACAAGAGAAATAACAAACCTTAACTTTCATTTTTTTTGTCTTTTCATGAAATAACAAGAATGATTAAAGTCACTTAAGAGAAGAAACAATGAAATGGCATGAATCAGTCACCATAGTTTTTGGAAATCCTTTCAATTCTTTTGTGTATACCCAATGATTATAAAGAAAACCCAGCAGATAAGTGACCTTTGTTTGGTGACTTAAGCAGAGGAATTCTGTGACTTTTGGTTAGTGACTTTAGCAGAGGAATTCTGTAACCTTTGTTTGGTGACTTTAGCAGAGGAATTCTGTGACCTTTGTTTGGTGACTTAAGCAGAGGAATTCTGTGACTTTTGGTTGGTGACTTTAGCAGAGGAATTCTGTGACTTTTGGTCAACGACTTTAGCAGAGGAATTCTGTGACTGGTTGGCGACTTTAGCAGAGGAATTCTGTGACTTTTGGTCGGCGACTTTAGCAGAGGAATTCTGTGACTTTGGTCGGCGACTTTAGCAGAGGAATTCTGTGACTTTTGGTTGGTGACTTTAGCAGAGGAATTCTGTGACCTTTGGTTGGTGACTTTAGCAGAGGAATTCTATGACCTTTGGTCGGTGACTTTAGCAGAGGAATTCTGTGACTTTTGGTTGGTGACTTTAGCAGAGGAATTCTGTGACTTTTGGTTGGTGACTTAAGCAGAGGAATTCTGTGACCTTTGGTTGGTGACTTTAGCAGAGGAATTCTGTGACCTTTGTTTGGTGACTTTAGCAGAGGAATTCTGTGACTTTTGGTTGGTGACTTAAGCAGAGGAATTCTGAGACCTTTGGTTGGTGACTTTAGCAGAGGAATTCTGTGACTTTTGGTGGGTGACTTTAGCAGAGGAATTCTGTGACTTTTGGTTAGTGACTTTAGCAGAGGAATTCTGTGACCTTTGGTCGGTGGCTTTAGCAGAGGAATCTGTGACCTTTGGTTGGTGACTTTAGCAGAGGAATTCTGTGACCTTTGGTTGGTGACTTTAGCAGAGGAATTCTACAACAGAGTAATTAATCTGTACTGTTTACTTAAGAATGTTTATAATTTTGAAAATATTTCGATATTCTTTCAGGGAGGTGATCTGTTCGATGCCATAGCCATGGCAACCAAGTACACAGAACAAGATGCCAGTGGCATGGTGTACAACCTATCAAGTGCACTCAAGTACCTACACAATCTCAATATCGTCCACCGTGATGTCAAGCCCGAGAATCTACTGGTAAATGTTTCAGATTTAACTTCTATTTAGATATCATTCTCAATTATTAATCAAGAAAAACTAGTTATAAATCAAGAAAACCTAGTTATAATCAAGAAAACCTATTTAAGAATCAAGACACCCTAGTTATGATTCAAGAAAACCTAGTTGTTCTGTATATTTCTGAAATCCAAGACTAACAAGCATAGAGCAAATTAACTGGCAACATGTATTTGTTTAACATTCATAATTTGAAAACTGTGTAATCAGGAACCTGAATTACTCAATAAAACATTTCAGTGTAAAGTGAACTAGCTGTAAAGCAAAAAACAAGATGAAATGGATTTACAGCAAAACCTTGTTATAGTGGCTTTTTTTAATGCCAACATAATTTTCCTGAGAAATTTTGGCGTAATAAAGGGGTTAAGCAGTTGATTGGGGAATGGAAAAAAGGATTATATTAAAATAAATGAGAAAAAAGGACATTTAAATATTTTGGAGGTATAACAGGTGGCAAATTCCGTCTTTGCGTATTGCAGAGTTATCTGCTCTTGTGAGCAGGGATTGATTGTTACCACATTTGTTTGTGAGAGTAACGTCATCAATTTTTGAGAAAACGACGTAATTTTCTCACACAAACCAATGACGTAACAATCACTACCTGCTCACAAGAGAAGATAACTCTGCAATAGCAAAGACGGAATGACACGAGGGCATTATATTGAGGTTCTCTATATATTGCTCCTAGTGCTGTTGAATGAAGACAAAGTACACTATGTATAAACTTGATGGCATTCTTATCTGAATATTATATTGATGTTGAAGAAATAATTTCTGATTGATTTATAGGTATTCCAACATACCGATGGAGCAAAATCCATCAAGCTAGGTGATTTTGGTCTAGCCACGTATGCCACAGAAGTCCTTTACACAGTGTGTGGCACACCAACATATGTGGCACCAGAGATCCTCGCAGAAATTGGGTAAGATTATTGTTGACTTTTCAAGACATCCCCCCCCCCCCACCCCTACCCAATTATTATTTTAATCTACCCAGCTGTACAAAGAGGAATCAACATGCCAGGAAGTTATTGAACAAAGGACTGGTGTCCTTCCTTAAGAGAAATTCACAGACTCTATGTCAGTCATGTCGTACACAGTTGATTATTCCTTCCCCTTTTAGAAATCTTAGAATTTGGCATGTATGTAGTAGATGTAGCCTTGCTCAGGCAATTCTGAACAATAGGGGAAATGTTTATTGATTTGAGCTACAATGCTCAGAGATATTTTTCCTTTGTGATTAAAAACAATAGTTTCTGTTCCCCTTTTTATATAAAACTTGGGTATTATTGTTTTTTTGTCCTCTTCGTCTGACACACTCCTTGTGATCATTTTAGAAGTTGTATTTATGATTTATGATTTTTTTTTCTATTAAATTGTTCTGACCTTTAAAAATCCCAGGATAAGTTTAATTATCGGCATGATCTGTCAAGTAGTGAGGTCACTGGTGCTAAAAATAGTTTTTTACCATCACATTGCTTGTCATCATTCTTAGCAGCTGTATTTAAGATTTTGATGAAACTTTGCAGAAATGTTTCCCCTTGACAAACCTTTGACAAGTTAAATTACAAGTGTTATTGATTAAAGGTCAAGGTCACTGTTACTAAATAATACCATTTTACTGTCACATGCCTGCTGATCACTCTGGTAGCCATATTTCTTGACATATTTCAAAACCAGCAGGGGCAGAGGTTACTGTGAGGCCTACTCACTTCCTGTAAGTCTGTTCAACTGACAAAAAGATAAATAGATATGTCGTAACTTTTACTATTACAGATATGGGTTCAAGGTGGACGTGTGGGCAGCTGGCGTGATTTTGTACATATTGCTCAGTGGATTCCCTCCCTTCGTCAGGTAGGCATCGGTAAAAAAATTGTAATAAATTGTTACACTGGGTCTGAGGCAGCAATACACACTTCAAGAATTTTACAATCACTTCTTAAATCTTATAGTAGTCGTAATAACATGCATGATCGCGAGACTTATTGCAAACATAATATAAAACACAAAGCAAAAAATTAATGCAATCCGGTAGTTAGACCCCACCTAGTATACAGAGGTAGCTAAGGTTATCTCACTTGACAGTATGTTTAGGTATTTAGCAGTTCATGCCAGCCAGTTTCCTTTTATTGATTTCTTTTTTTTGAGGGTTTCGGAAAGAATGTCATTTACATATGATGTATCAAAACATGTATATCTTTGATTTAATTATTTTCTAAAAAAAAAAATCAATAATTTTTACAGCACAAGTAATGACCAGGAGGAGTTGTTTGACCAGATACTGGACGGCAAGTTTGAGTTCACAGCACCGTTCTGGGATGATGTGTCCGACTCGGCTAAGGTAAAGTCGACCTAACCATATCAAAACAGTGTATAATTCGGAACTGACCTCAGTATTGTTAGGGTCAGTGTAGCTCATAGTGGGATGGCCAGTGCTACTGTCCATGAAATTGTCTGGGGTTTGGTTAATAGTGCCAATACTTGGTCTTTTATTTAAAGTGTTCCAGTTAGCCTAGCTGTTGAGTACTTGCATAGTCGGAAGTAAACCTGTGATAGACAGGTGTCCATTTATGTGTTAATTATGCCACTGAACCAAAATAGTACAATTTGTATTCATGCTCTATCTGGGGATAAGATACTGAAGAAATTAATTTTTAATTCTTCAATTTAATATTTTTCAGTGAAGTTACCGTTGAATGATTAATGTGAAAATATGTAAAACGATCCCTGAATTTACTTGAACAGCAACACCTCATGTTTTCCAAATTTAATCATATGAGAAATTCATGCATATTAACTTTATACTATATGTATTACTATGGTTATCTGTCAATTAACTTACCTTTATAATTAACTGTTTATTGACTTACCTGTAAATGAAGTTAATATATCTACCTGTCTATTAATTCAGCTTTATATTTTTTCCTGTGCTTTAACTTACCTGTGTATTTACTTACCGGAATATAAACTTACCTGTATACTATTCTACCTGTTTAGAATTCCTCGTATATTATTCCCCCTGTATATTCACTTTATAAGTTACCCTTATACTTACCTGTATACATTATTCCTGACAGGATCTAATCAGTCAGATGTTGGATGTTGACCCTAACAGTCGCCTGTCTGCTGCAGATGTTCTAGTCCACCCATGGGTTGCTGTAAGTATTAAATACTGTTATTTAGATTTACACGTCTTAAGTTCATGCAAGTTAGATACTTGGTTTACTTCAATCCACATATCAACGAAAAAACTAGCTTTCCTCTGTACCAAACTTTTGATTTGAATTTTCTGTTTGTAAGGAAATTTGATGCAAGACTTGACATCATAATACAAGTGTGACATTTAATTTCTTGTGATGTTATCCCATGTGTGTTATCCAAAAGAAACAAGCCATGTAGTTTCCCCATTCTACACAGGGTTCAGTTTGGATATGTTATGTCTGTTTTTTGAAAGATCTATAAATAATTTCTGGATTATAAATTATGATCAATAAATCATTCAGTACATCTAATAGCTGTAGCTTTGTGTCATTTGGTGCTAATATATTCTTTGTTTCCAGGACGACATGGCTAAGAATGAGGACATACATGGTAACATCACCACCAGTATTAAGAAACACTTCAAGAGGAAGTCCAAGCCGTCCCTCAGTACCGCTGGCATCAGGATAGTCACTGTAAGTTACTAGCTGGAGCCCTACAGACTTGCCCCGTCTGTTATATAGTCTTGATAAATTATGGTGTTAGAACAATGATTGTTAGTATCCCACAAACATACAGAATTGTACAAACTGGCTTTTACCCACAACTAGTGTTAAAATAGTGTAACAGGAAAGAGAGTAGTGTGCTTCCACCGGGGATCCAACCTGCAACCCTGGACTTCCTAGTCGGATGCTCTACCACTGAGCTGAAGGGAAATTCTCTCTAGCAGAAGCTAGAAGACGACCGTAATCCTATGTACAATTAAATCCTGCCCCAATAGAATAGTCCCCCATCTCCCAATACCAAGTACTTCCTACCAGGATATGTTGGGTGATTAGGTGGCCGGTTGATATAGCACACTTACCTTTCACAAAGACAGCCTGGATTTGGTTCCTCATTTGGACCTGATAAGGTATGGGTCACCAGGCTGATGACATGGGTTTTCTCCAGGTACTCCAGCTCCCTCCACATCAAGACTCCTGCCAGATTAATATATAAATTCATAAAACCTGTTTCATTATGTTACTGTTGTTATATGAATAAAGTTAATATTTATTTATATGATTTCCCAAGATTGATCATTTAAACCTAATATTTCAGTATACATGTTTTCCTGTATCATACTTACAGGGAAGAATGATAAGTTTTACAAAGTTCTCCCCAACCAGTCATGGCCAGAAGGTTGATGTAAAATTGGCATTTCCTGGATAACATAACTGTAAAAACCTATAAATTCTAAATGTATTCTCAACTACAAAGCAAATAGACTGTCTATAAGAAACATAATATTCCAATCTCTCTAATCTGACACACTGTCAGTTACAAATAGACTGTCTATAAGGAACATTTAACATTCCAACCTCTCTAATCTGACACACTTTCAGTTACAAATAGACTGTCTATAAGGAACATTTAACATTCCAACCTCTCTTATCTCACACTGTCTATAAGAATCATTTAATATTCCAACCTCTCTAATCAGACACACTATCAGTTACAAATAGACTGTCTATAAGAATCATTTAACATACCCACCTATCTAATCTGACACAGTTAGTTACAAATAGACTGTCTATTAGGAACATTTAACATCCCAACCTCTTTTATCTGACACTGTCTATAAGGAACATTCTACATTCCAACCTTTCTAATCAGACATACTGTCAGTCACAAATAAGACTGTCCATAAGGAACATTTTAAATTCCATCCTCTCTAATCTAACACACTGTTAGTTACAAATAGACTGTCTATAAGGAACATTTAACATTCCAACCTCTCTTAACTGACACACAGTCATTATTGACATACAGCTGTAAACCCATTTTTCATTAGAAGTTCTAAATAAAACTTTTGGATTCGGACCGTTGCTTGTACAGGATGTCGCACTAAAAAAAACAATTCCTTACCTAATCTGAGTAGTTGATACAGTTTTATATTTACTGAAGTCAGACATTGTCAGGTAATATAGCAGGTATTAGGAATGAGATACCTGTACTGGTATGGGTCAAATATCAAGCACATTTTGTTACGGAATGGTATGAAAATGATCTGTTTAGATCAATAAACTTTACTTAAACCTATTAAATATTTATTTAAACACACATTGTAATCTCCATTCTCTTCTGTAACAGAGTACAGCCCTAGACAAGGGATCAAGGTTTTTCCCGGGGAGGAAGGCAGCTCTGACACTCCAGCAGCAAGACAATGGAGACGAGGTGTTTTGAGGTGTCCGCGGAAGTGTTCAACAGTATTATATTGTTGTTATGTCCCCACAAAAGTCTTCTCTACAAATCTGAGTCTTAATCATGTAATTGGTTTCATGAGAAAAAGGTAACACCTCAAGCTCTGAATTTGGAGAGCTTAACAACTAGTGTCATGGTTGATTTTTCCTGATATGGTTGTGACTGATATCCAGCAAGTCATGTTATTTCAGTTTTGTGTTCAAAAATAGGTATCAATCAAGAAAGAGAAACTTTGTGAGCCGAGAGCAATGTTTGATTCTATCAATCTCCGAGACATTCTTATTTCTGGGGTCAAAGAAGTTTCTGTGTTAGATTTTGTAGATTCATCTCCATTTATATTTCTTTCAATCCAGTCTACTGTCTAAGGCCAAAAAGAAATTATGTGTGTTTCGGGTCCCGACCTTAACCCCTAAGATTTTCCTGTAGACCCGAGAACATTTTATCACCTTCTTGTATCCAAAATTAATCTTTTATCCAGGCAAAGCTCCCAGTCACTGACTGCATTCTGTAATGCGTGTAAATGCATTGTAAAATTTTATATAAACCATAACCATATTGATCCATGAAAATAAAAATTAACCCTATTTATTCTGTCACGACACCTGAAACACACATACTGTTTTTTGTTTTTTTACTAAAGTTGGTGCAGATTGAATTATGAAGAAGCATCTTGTTAATGTGTTTCCTGTAATGTATGTTATACGTAGTGTTGACAAATGATATATTCAAGGGGAGATAATACATGTGTGATCAATGCCAGACAAGTGGCTCTGACAATTTGTCAGTTGAAATGCATCAACTAACGTCGTAATGCTATAAATGTACTTTTAAAATGGCACTAAATATTTCAGCATATTTTCTGCTACATGTATTTTGAAAGCACTAAATACGGATAAATTCAATATTCCTGCTGTTTTTAGTAGTAGTGTATTTGAAAAAATGGTGCATGTATACAGTAGGGTAAAATCTTCCTGTTTACAAAATCACATGAAAATGTTTCTACAAACTCTGTTAACATATACCCATACGTATCCGGCAATAGGCCAATCCATATATATTGCATTTTGGAAGAAATGCCAACAAATTCTTTCCTTGTCCTCATCTGGCCCCCTGGGCTTATTGTAGGATAAATATGGTAGTAAATCTACAAAGACACCAGCTTCAAGTGCATTTCATATTTTGTATAAACATCTTTATGTAAATGCAATGTGCTATGAGCTATCAATGGAATTTTCAAGAAACTATTTTTTTCTCACATATTCATTTTGCACTACAAATTTTGGATTGTAACATTCAACAATTAGTATGACAAAATATTTCTTATATCTAGTTCACAAAATCTGCCTATGTATTGTACAGCTCAATCATCATTTGAAAATAGTATTAGAATGCCAAACGGAACACTGAAAAATGTAACACAGAAATGTAGTTAATACTGTAGTACAAAAATGGTTACCATAGATACAAATCATGTGATTGTATGGAAACCGTTACACCGTCAAACGCAATGTTTACTTTAAAGAAACCATGGTTACTGTGGTAACCAGTAGTTACTTAGGAAACCAATCAAATGATAAAACAGTGTAACTAGTATGCATACCTGAACTGTAGATGTCCACTAACCAACAGGGCTACTTGTCCAGTGTAAAAATAACGATGAAAATGCATTGTAGTCAGTATTGAAAGCATTTCCAATATATTTGTGAGGAAAATGATCATAAATATATAATTGATATACCTGTTTCCTTCATTATTAATTAAATTTCATTTTATGAAGTCAATAAGTATTTCATATTTCAATAAGTGTTGTTAGTAAGGTTATCATAACCTAGACATGACTAGGATTACAAGATTCTGTTTCTCTCGCTCTTTTCCTGCTCAGTCCACCATTGATTTTCATAGCTGTAGGAAATAATGATTCTATTTCTCATTTCAACCTCAGTAAATACCACTGTAGGAGTTTTTTTGATTAATGAAGATTTTATTTATTTTGAGTGGAATTAGAGATTCTATTTCTCCAGTCTGCTAACAGACATTAACAACACTGGGTGAACGTCAGACTATAAATTGTACATACTCATTTTGTAATATAAGAATATCATTATTTATATAATTTATACTATGTAAATCATCATGTACATAATTCTTTTTTTGATGAAAACATAAAACTGTTGTCAATCATATGGTTCTTCAGCAATGGTCGTTTTTTGTTTTGTTTATACAATGTACCCTATTTTACCACTAACTAGGACTGCTTATAACCCGTTCTCAGGACCTCAACACTCCTGGGCATACCAGCGGTAAAATACCATAAGATGGAATTTCATTTATCCAGACAATTTTGCTTCTGATTATTCAAGGCAATGAGTGTCAGGATAAGGCAGGTTCTGTTGCATGTATCGTAAAACTTTTCTTAATGAACCACCACCTGGACCCAGTGTTCCAGTCAGAATACACAGGCTTCATTGTATAAAGAATATACAGTTCGACCTAGTCGAACATTTAGTATTAACAGGTTTGGTATGGACAGGTTACGATGTATATTTTTAGTTAGATGCTGGTGCTACCATTATTTGTTAGTAATGTAAGGTTGATTTTCCTGCCTCCATGATTCTGCTCGATTCTTTTTTTAATCTTTGACAACATGCCCCTCTTTATCATTCATTTCAAGACGTTAATTGTAAATAATAAAATTTATCATGTGTATGTCTGTTTTATTCAACGACACAAAATTCAAAATATGAAATTTCATGCCAACAGAAAAATAATGCAGTACAAGTCTGCACGAGTGTAAACAAATATTTTGGATAACTCTTAATGGAAAGTCATTAAAAACAGTATATTGTATAGCCTTGAAGCTGTACATTTTTAAAAGAAAACGTTTTCGAGGTATTAAGTGTCCAAATTTTGGTAACAAGGTTTCAGTGTTTGAGAAGTGCCTATTTCACTGTCAATTATTTAAGGATACATAACACCTTACTCAGACATAAACCTCCATGCCAGAAGATTTCCACACTTGAACAAATGCAAGCTAAGGGAGATAACTTTGGCAGCACAGTCCAACATATCCCTGGGTATAGTATATATCACATTGTGTCCCTTTTGTTTTAATTATATCCTACATATGTTGTATTAAGGTTTTTCTTCGCTATAATTGTGAAATAATAAAGTGATTATATAATATTCCAAATCAACTAGTGATTTAATTATCATTGCACGCCTTAAGTTTGTCAGCACCTGGCCTCAAAATTCACGTAGAAGTCTTCCGATTGGTTAATATATAAGATTTTTTTGAAAATTGACTAATCAGAAGAGGTCTTAATGGATTTGGAGCCAGAACACAAGATGTTGTGTCAATTATGCCCATTAATTTGCTCAAGTGCTTTCATACAGTTCGTATTCCAACATTGATAGTGCACGCATCAGAGGTTGTCAATTTATGTATTTGATGTACATATATGCATATGATCTTGTTTATATCCAGTTATCAAAATGTGTTAACTTGATTTTTATTTTTTTAACATTTGCAATCATACCTTGGTATTCCCCTTTCCCTTTATTTGGCAATGCTGTATGTGAGAAAGGCCTCATTTTCGTACTTGTCCAGAGTGTATAATAATCAAAGATGTGTGATCAGGGTCCGCTTGTCAACATCCTTCACGAGATTAATGAAGGTTACACTATGTCAAGTAACAGTATCAAATTCTTTTCCCCAAAGAAAGTTTGCAAGATGTCTGATTATGGGTTTATTGAACACTAATCAATTTGAATCTCAAGGAAGGTTTTTACCCAATAATCAAGAAAACACAATTAGTTCTTCATGTTTCTCTGGTGTATGTGTATAGCTTTCATAATATGCTGCCTAAAGCAACTGGTTAATGTGTTGCCAGGGGTAAAATTTATGAAAGATTATCATGTTTTGACAAGTTATCTAGGTTTTATTCATACAACATACATGAACTTTGAACATTCCAGTTTCTAAATCTATTTGTCCTTAATACAATATGTTGCCTAGTTTTGTGACCTTGATACACTGTTGCCAAGGTTTCATGACATGTTTAACCTCAATTGGTACACATGCTGCCTTGGCTTCAGGACCTCTGATGACCATGCTGCTTAGCTTTGACTTTTGTATGTTATGTTTCCCAGGTTTTTACATCTGTGCAGCATAGGTTTAATGACCTTGACATTATAACATTGGTGTTTCATGACGTCAGAGTGATCTTGGATTAGGTTTCATACCTAGTACAGGATGTTGCTGGGGTTTCATACACTGTGTGTTACCAAGATTTCACAATCTGTGTTTCAAGGTGATGCAGGTGGCCTGGGTTTTACGTAACCTGACATTCAAATCTCTCAACCTAGGTGAAGTACGTTGCTTGGGTTTCAAGATATTTATGGCCTTAATATGTTGCCAAGGTTTCACTTCCCGTTTGACATTTTCAATGATAACTGCGGCACCTTTGATCACATACACTTGTATTTGCCTTGGCATCTTGACATCTTATTGTTTGATTTATGTTCGTTTTCGTCTTGGTTTGTCGCCAAGTTTAAACCACGTGTATTTTTGAGTAATGTTGTGGCCTATCTTGATCTGAGAGAGCACAGCTTGAGTAGCAATACACAAAAGATGTCCTTTAAGTTGCTCATGTTGTATGTTGTCAATATATCGCTACAAAGTGATTTTAACCAATCAAATGATAAAATAAAAATATCATTCCAGATACCTGTTTTATTTCCTTATTTTCCTTACACAAAGATTTTCATTTAAAATTAAACGACTCCTTCAATGTAAGAAAATCTGTTAAACAGAATACTAACAATGATTGTGAAATATTGGTGACAATGAAATTGGCAAATAAGCCTAAATCACAGAATGGATTTGCTTCAATTAAAAAAAAAATCATAGAAAAAATAAACAACCATAATAACAAAATTTGTAAGCATTGATTATCTAAAGTAACAATATCCATGTCAGCACATCACAAATGTGATACAAAAAGTGGATCTCTCTAACAAACTCCATGTCAAATTGATCTTAAAACAATCCTTTGGGCACAGTCTATGGATACTTGTCATCACTTGTCATTCCTCATCTTGCGATCAGCCTGTTTGAGTCCGACCCAGGTGTTGAGCTGTTTTGCACGAATCTTGCTCCAAATGACGTGGTCTGTCAGAGACAGGATCTGAGCAGCGGCAAGACCGGCAGCCTCTGGGTACATCACGGTAGCACAGCCCAGGCCTAAAATATATTCATTATATACATGTTTTAAAATTGTCAGTTATAATGCAGAGAAATAGTTTAACTTCCGTGGTATACCGAAGGTCTTGTTGATGATCAGACAAATGAATTAGGGCAATTGTAAAAACATCAATAATATTTTATGCTGCAAAATGATGATTGAAATGTAACGAACATTTTTTTAGAAGCATAACCCATGTAAAACTTAATAGTTAACTAGATATGGAGGATACAGGTTTGATTTTTTTTGACAAAGTCACTGAAGCATAAAGTTAAATTCAGCATCTGCAACATTTGTTCAGAGTAAGGCAACCCAAGATGTTATCTGTACAAGTATAATCCATGTAGCGCTTAAAGACACACAGACATGGAAAATACAATTTGGGAATAAAAACAACACAACAATGTAATAGTCAACAGACTTGACTAGCTATCAGAATCCAATAAATTTGTGGGATTTATATTTTATGGATTTGTTCGGGTCATGAATTTGTCGCGAATAAAATTTCTATGAAATATCAGTACTATATAGTAATAGAAAAAATGTTCAGCATTAAATTTACCTGAAGGCAGTCTCATGGAAGACCATATGTCGTGGGCTGCCCACTCCCCGGACAATGGGGGGCAGTTGATGACTGGCCATGAAGAACTACCAGACAACACCGGTCCCAAACCATTACTCCGTCCAGCAACAGCAATGAACACAGTGGGAATACCTTCACCTGTCAATTTGTATAAACTTACTGTCAGATAAGGTTTCAACTGTGTCCAAACTAAAAACATCAAGGACATTTACTCTTTATCTGATGGAGTTTCAGATGCTAAATTTTACGAGGTTTGACTGGTGGGACAACAGACAGTACGAGCACTGCAAATATCGCAGACAGTAGATGATAGAAGAAAAAAGAAGTTTAATTAAGATGACAGCATATTATAAGCTATAAAATATCTCAACAATGAAAACATATTGTCACCGGTATTAAGAAAGCTGCATGTGTAACGTACTTGTCGTTTTGACATAGTCGGCCATATTGTATTCGGCTACGTTAATTTTACCAAATACTGAAACAAGAGGAACTCTTCCATCATTTTAAAATGAATCCTTGTTATAATGATGATTGATAACGAAATTAACATTACGATGTATTCAAGTTTGTCAATAATCCACTATGTGATTTCCACTTAACATTGCCATGCTGAAATATGGTTTTGTACACTCAGCGAATCAACACTTCCGCCAAATCATAGATGTCAAAACATCGCTTGAAAAACAAAAGATCCCAGAGGGATCTTGGTGCCCATTGTACCATCTTCATTTGTTCTTTGTCAATTCGATCTTTTCTCTTCTTTCCTCTAATCTGTTTGATCGAAACTTAATACTGATGTGTATGAAAGCCAACCTTCAAAGTGAGTTTGTCATTTCACATATTTACCAGTACAGAACTTAATGTGAAAGAAATAGAATCAATCATTGCAATATGAGAAAGATCTGTTTAGTTCTTCCTTTAGTCATTTTGTTTTTATGATCAGTCTCAAAATATAACATGCACAACGAGGGGTCAAGGGGAACCTACATATCAAATTTAAGAAGATCCCTCAAGTTATTCCTGAGAAATAGTACTAACAAACCTTCAATGTCAAAAATCCTAGATGGCTGTCGGTAGACCATGTTGTTTAACTGATCAGTTTCAAAAGTAAACATGAACAATAAAGGATAGTGGGGAACATGCATTGGCTGGCCCAAAAAAATTTGGCTGAGTAAATTTTTTTAAGCACTAGCCCAAATGACATATTGGTGGCCCAAATAAATTTGGGAAGAAATATTTCCACAGCATTTAGCACAATGCTTCAACACATTTAAATTACATATAACATGACAATATTTGTAATATGTTAAACAGAATAAAACATTATATTTTTAATTCTTCCACCCTAGTTAAAACCTGACATGATCGATCCACTCCATTCATGTCTTCCCAAAAAGAAATACACAAAACTCGCACCTCAAAGGAGACAACCTGGCAGTATTTATATAGAAAATCTGATTTTTTTTTTATCACATTTTCTAAATCGCGGACATTTCAATTCAAATCGAAGTAATGACAACTGAAAAATGTATTGCCTCCCAGTTAATGTGAAAGGGACTATAATTTCTTTTATTCTTTAATTTTTTGACAGTCCCCAAAACTATTTTTGTTGGGCCAGTGACTACCTCACTTTTGACAACTTTTGGTCGCTCGAGCAAGACTTTAACCGCAGGTGACCATCCATTGTAGGTACTGCTGCAACAACAAGGGAACAAGGGAAACCTACATATAAAATTTGAGAAAGATGCCTCTGGTACTTCCCGAGAAATAGCGATAACAAACGTTCACTATCAAAATCAAAGATGGCTGCCTGTCGGCCATAGTGTTTATCCGATCAGACTCAAAAGTTTCACTGCACTGCTAGGGACCAAAGGAAACCTACATATCAAGTTTAAGAAAGATCCCTCCGGTACTTCCCGAGAAATAGCGATAACAAACTTTCACTATCAAAATCCAAGATGGCTTCCTGTCAGCCATGTTGTTTATCCGATCAGTCTCAAAAGTTGCCCTGCACAGCTAAGGACCAATAACAAACTTTCACTATCAAAATCCAAGATGGCTTCCTGCGGCCATGTTGTTTATCCGATCAGTCTCAAAAGTTGCCCTGCACAGCTAAGGACCAAGGGGAACCTACATATAAAATTTGAGAAAGATCCCTCTGGTACTTCTTGAGAAATACCGATAACAAGAATTGTTTAAGGACGGACGGACAGATGACGGACCACGGACGCAGGGTGATTTGAATAGCCCACCATAATCTTAGCCCACCATCAGATGATGGTGGGCTAAAAATATATGCACACAAAGTTATAATGCAGCTACAACAGGGTAATGGTACAGTTACTGAAGTTACTCCTCTAATTATCTGACGTTCAGCCGACACCTGTATATGCACAACGAGCGTGGACCGCAGCCTGTGCCTAAAGACATGTCGATGGCAGTGCCGGTGTGATACACAGGTAAAATACATGTCAGGCATGACAGGTCACACCTGTTCGACGAATAGATAGGATTAATACTATGACCACGAATGAGGGGTATTTGAGTAAACCTTAGTTAGAGGAAGTGGGGTTTTACTGTACTTCAGAATCTGTTAAATACTGACCTTCATACTCGGCTAGTATCCTGAGTGTTTCTTCTGTGCCCTTGTGAGCGGATGTGACTCTCAGTTCACATGGCACACCCAGTGACTTGCAGCATGTCTGAATCTTCTCTGCATGGGCGGAGTCAGATGCAGACCCCATCAACACAACAGCTCTGGCAATTGGCTTGGGAGACAGTAGCTGAAAGGATATACATTGTATAACACTCACCGACTAGTAAACTGTACTTTTTAGTACAATCATCCTACTAATATTATCATAGAATGAATGAAGTTAAACAAGTGTCATAGGTTTTGTCAGCATACATTCCTTTCCAGAATGTCTGCCAAAGAGCATCAGTACAAGAATACAAACTGCTGCATTTAAAAAAAGAGTCTGTTTGTTTTCCAAGAAAAGTATTCATTACATACATCTATTGCTGAAATATTCACCCACTGACCCTGCCATCCATGACAATTAGCCGCGCATTGACCTTAAGTAACTCATTGACTGTCTTGTCAGCCATGACAATCAGCCACCCACTGACCTAGAGTCATCCAATGACCCTACCATCCATGACCTTTAGCCACTCACGGACCTATCCAAGTTATTGTCCCTAACTGACTCGGCCACCCAGAGACCTTTCGCTACCCATGGACTGTCACCCATTGACCCTCAGCAACACAATGATTCTCTCAACCCACTGATTTCTTGCCATCGATTGATCTCTATACTTTCATTTGAATTCCACCATGTAAGTTGTAACCTCAGTAGCAACACTCATTGAAATTAAGTTTACACTATTAGTTTACTCAATACATATGTGTACCTCGACTCTCTCTGCCACCCATTCAAAGTTGCGTTTGACAGTATCCAGGGCTTCCTTAGTGACCTCCTTCAGTTCTCTGTACACCTGTTTATCCTTCATCAGACGGCGGTCTCCCGCTGGCCACAGGCGCCACGAGTCACTGTCTATGGTGTCCGCCAGCACTATCTCACCTGCCAATCAAATTTGTGATATTTTACAGCTGCATTTTATTGGAGATTAGCACATGCTCAGGATAAAGTATATTTCAACAAGTTAAAGAAGAGAATCTTACTACATGCAGTACAAAATAAAAAGCTAGGTTAACAAATGGCGTTAAATATATTTGGGCATGAGACCCATGCTAGCTAGCTGCCATCCCAAGAGGTACCTGTATACCAAGTTTGTCAACTGCGTGTGATATCTATGTCTTTATTATGAGTTATGCCCCTGAAAAAGTTATATTTGGACAGATGAACTAATGGAGGGGTGCGTAAACCATTAGTAACTTAGGACCCCTGCACCACTGCCAAAAACTGAAACTAAGTGTTGGAAACCTTTTTGTCTTGACATGACTATAGCTTTGATCAATCATTTCTAAAGAAAACCATACCTTGCAGGACTTTTATGAGAAGCAATAAAGACGAAAAAATCATAAATCAAATCAACAACAGTGTTTGAAGTGTCAGTGGCTAGACGAGGGGTTCGAACACTGGACTTCCTGGTCTACAGAAGTGTCCTGACCCAACTCAGAACTGCTACATGTACAGTTATATCCCAAAGGAAGTTACAAGGTAAAGGGAGGTTATTGTAAATAGGAAAAGCCACAGTGCAGTGGGACAGAGGTCCTTAGGGGACGCTGCATACCCTCGGTGCATGATGTACAGACATAACCATGGTGACAATAAATCTTTCAGTGGCTCAATGATTCTAGTCCAGACAAAATCACATAACAAGAGAATGGGCAATTGGACCCAAAAAACCTGCTCTAGTTTGTATTTAAGGTTATTAAATAATGTATTAAGAATATAAAATAAATTGCAAGATCTATATTTTTGTATAAATTTTCAAGGAGACAATAACAAAATCAAGACTTTGTAAACATTTACGAAAGAAAATGAATATTCAATATAAATACAGTTGTATTATGTGTTATTTCCCCCCATTAATTTTACAGTCAAATTCTATGGGGATTACCACACAGTAAGTATCTGTATTTTGTACCTGTATTTTGAACACACAATAAGTTTATTTTTATTTTGAACACACAGTAAGTATCTGTATTTTGAACACACACTAATTAAGTACCTGTATTTTGAGCACACACTAAGTACCTGTATTTTGAACACACAATAAGTACCTGTATTTTGAACACACAATAAATACCTGTATTTTAAACACACATAGTACCTGTATTTTGAACAAACAAAGTACCTGTATTTTTAACAACCCCAAACTCTATCTTCATGTCTATGAGGCTGCAGTCCAGCGATGACCAGCACCTCTCCAGTATCTCAAACACTGTCACAGTTATTTTTCTCATGATATCCAGCTCGTCCGGACCGATCAGAATACCTCCAACACGCAACTCGGCCGCAACACACTGTTCGTACGACCACAGAGGATCATGGTTTGCATCATCCTACAACAAAGATTACATAAAGCCTCGTGAAGGATGGAGAACATACCACTGGTTCTATATTGACAGTTCTACCTAGTTAGCTATCTAGAGTGTCCCTAGTGGTCCAAAAGTGGGGAAAATTCTCAAAATAACTGGGAAAATAATTATACACTGGAAACCAAAACTAGGATGCAGGTAGGTTTGATTTTTGATAATTATACAATATGTTTCCTTTTATACATACTCTTGGTAAGTTTTACAAGAAGAAAACTATTTCTAAATACTTTGATTTAGGGGATAACCCTACCGTAGTTTGAAATTTGCGGCAGTATATTGTAACTCTACTGTCGCAAATTTAGTTTTACTGGTGATGCCAAAGCGGAGCAGTAAACGGATATTTGTGACTGTATAATCACGATGTACTGCTGCAAATTTTTAAATACAGTAGGGTTATCCCCATTTTAATTCATACAAGCCTAAACCACCAAAAGAAACGACGATTTTTAGATTAGTGATGTCGTGAATATTCAAAGTGATCGAGGCGGGATTACATTGACCTTTTGAGGTAATGTTATTGTTAGTGACGTAGTGAATAATCAATTTCGTGTCAGGGCCAGTCGGGGTCATCGACGTCAATAACAATTGCCATCCAGGCTTCATATGCAAATGAGAAATTTGCAGACAGTATATCGTGGTTATACTTTGGCAAATTATTTTGATCGACCAATCCAATGTCCTGTTAAATCTCAAATGAATAAGAAGTTATATTTAAAGGTGTTTTCTGTAATAGAGCATTCGGTGGTTAATGTTCAGCCACTTCCCTCATGCCCAGCTTCAGTGTTATGAAAGACCAATTATTTTTCTCCTAAAGTTTTAAGAGTGATTGGATTAATGATATTCAACAGTATTTGCTAATCAAACTGTTTTATAGGAAATAATGGCCATTGATTGTATTTGGAAAGGGGTCTTTTATAGATCCCTTTAATTCTTTCAAAAAGTATTGTATATGAAAAATACAGTTGAAGTTAAATTGTAGAGTGCCATGTGAAGGTTACAAGTTTTAGTAATTTGTGGTTTCTAACAGAAGTATGCCAGTTTACCTAGGAAACTCCACCCAGTAATTTCCCGAGAAATTTTGTAAAGATACCTTGAAGAATGTTTCCTGTTTGGGTGGACAGAATCGGAAGCCCTCCTTCACTCCCACGTGTCTTTTAAGGAAAGAGCCGGTGGCAACTCTCCTTGTCACCCACTCAAGCGGAACCATCTCGCATTCTAATGCTACAAACTCTGTATCAGAGTGCCGCCTCTTAAAGTGAGTCTTGATTCCTTTAAAGAATTAACTTATAATACATACATGTATCACCTGCCGGCCATTTCAGGCTATGCAATACAGAATGATGTATTACATAAATTGTGAAATAATCGCCATTACATGGTCAGAACATATTAGTTTTAATATTTTGATTTTTTTTTATGAAACTCCTTGCATAATTTACCATACACTGGTGTTACACAGGGATGTATTCAAGAAACCCTAGCGTTATCATGTAATGATAAGTCTTATTTTTCATTGAAAATGGCTACAATCATGCAAGTCAGGCCTAATTTTGGGTCATTCCAGACCAAATATTTTGCCACATTCAAACGTAAAATAGCAGTGTTGTTCCCCCAAAGTTCCTGAATTACTATGACTTTATTATTTTCAGCCTTTATTCAGATGTAAGTGAGTGCAACATTTTATGTCAAAAAATGAAAATAATACTTAGCAATTGATATTTTTTGATATTTATGATACTGATAAACTGTAAAACTGATAAACTATGGTCCCAGAAAAAAGATAAATAATCAAATGTACACTGACCTAAATTTGACCTTGACCTTTGGCAAACCCAAAAGTGGTACACACTGCCTTGCCATCCTAAATACTTTATAATTTTGTTGCACTATCTTCAGCAAGTCAAAAGTTAATCATGGCCTGCATAAACAATGAAATAAGAATTTGACCTTTGACCTAAATGTGACTTTGACCTTGGGTGCAAAGACTAAATAGCGCCACACATACATGTATCCTTAAATTCATCAAGCTATCTTCAGCGAGTCAATAATTATGGCCCCGACAATGAATTTGACCTTTGACATCAAAGTGAGCTTAACCTATGGCATACCGACTCAATAGTTGTTTGTGACACTGTCTTGTCATCTTACATATATTCCTTAAAATTCAGAGAACTACCCTCAGTGAGTCAAAAGTCATGGTCCTGACAATGAATTTGACCTCTGATCTGTGACCTTGGGCATACAGACCCGAAAGTGGTACACCTTTACCATCCTACATATATGTCTAAAATTTCATACTGAGATATGTTCAGCTAATCAGAAATTGTGTCCCAGACAATGAATTTGATATTTCAGCTCAACCTGACCTTGACTTTGGGCATTAAGACCCAATTGTGGTTTGCAACACACCGCCTTTCCATCTTGCGTATATCTCTTATAACTCATAAGATGATTCAGTTATATCAGCGAGTCAAAAATCATGTCTAGGAGAATGAATTTGACCTTTAACCTCAATGTGACCTTGACCTTTCAAGTATGGACATAAGAGTGGTATGTGATATATACTACCTTGCCACCTTACATGTATCCCTAAAATGTCATTGAACTATATCTTACGCGAGTCAGAAGCTATGGCCCAGACAACATTAATTGAGATGGACGGATAATGAACCAAGGCATAAGCTCACCTGCAAGGAAATTCCCATTTTCAAATGTTTAAATTCAGAAAATGTCAAAATCCTAATTAATGCAAAATGTCTATACTTTGAATTTCTGCTTTGGCTGCTCATTAAAGCAGTACTTTGAGGATAACTTTTCCTCATTTTTACTTTATAAATCTGGAAAATTTCAGCTTCATGTCTTACACCTGGTTTACTAGCTGTAACATTTAATATCTACAAATCTCTGACTAAACATTGAGAAATTCATTCTTGATCCTCACCAGCATCATTGAGTAATTTGAACAAAGCACATGTGGTTGCTGTAGAGATGGCTGCTTTGCCCTCCATGTCATGTGCCCTTGCGCCATCACCTGCAGTGATTCGGTCCTTGGATTTCAGCATCACATGGCCAGGCAGGGATTTAAGTTTATAAACAATCTTTGTTTTCCCTTCAATGATTACTGGTCCGAGCGAGTAATCACAGTCACCATTAGCATCTCCTGACAAAAAACACATACAGTAATCAACTAACAGTTCAGGCATTTCCACTGACTTTCAGAGGTCATCAGCATCTTCTAGTCCAAGAACACTTCAGATCTTGAAATGTAGGCACTATGGGCCTGTATCACTTGCCAGTTACTGAATAGGGTAAGCAATTTGGTAAAAACATCTTGGACAGATCTGTGCATGACGTTCAAATTTGGTCAAGGCCAAATTTATTTGAAAATTGACAGTAAGCAAGCCAAATGTTATTAACACTTTCACCACTGTAGACCATAATGGACTCATCCAGATCAATGCATGGTAGAGTCTACTAAAGTTACATAGGGTTGAAAGGGTTAACTTATTACTCTAAATATTAGACAGATCATTTAATTATTTCCTCCTACTCCTCCAAACCCCTGCCAACAGACTCAGATGTGCATGGCCTTTGACATAAGTCAAGGTAATTTAATTGAACAAACTTGATTAGGCAAAAAAAAAAAAAAGTGTCTGTTTGGGGTTCCCGACCAACCCTAGCTTTTTACCCCCAACCCAAAACTTTTTGATGACAATTTTTTTTTTTTTTTTTTTAATAACCGCTGATTTTCGAATTTTAGAAGGTTCCTTGCCTTTCAAAATGACTTCCAACTCCGTGTTGGCACTAAATGTCATCATATGGAGCACAACCTGCCTCCAAATGAACCTTGTTTATGTAATTCTTTGTTTTACATACAATAGTATATTGTACCACACGGTAAACACAAAAATATACAAACAAAAAATCCGACCTTCCTACCCTTGTTTTTGCCCATGCAACCCTAAACAGACTATTATTTTTTTTGGCCTAATCTAAAGATGTCATGTTAGTGATGGATGCAGTGGCTGTGCCTATTCCATATAGTAGCTCAAATGCACTTTTTACAGGATTTTCTATTACACAAACTAAATCTTTTTGCAAATATAATATCAAGCTATTATCGATGTGAAACTATCCATCTTAAAATTTTCCATTTTTAAAAAAAAGGCACAGGTACCTTATTTCAAAATAAAGTAGTATTGTATCATTAATGCATTATGTACGTGTGATCACTATAAAATATCTAAGTTACAATATTACTGATTGGTATATGTGAAACCGTATAGGTTGAAAACACTTTTAAATCATGGTTATTTCCCTTGACCTCATTATGTACATTGATTTTCTATTCTATTTTTTTCATCAAAATGTGATGATACAATTTAAAAAGTACATTAATAAATGTTTAACTTACAAAGACAGAATTTTAAGCAAAACTTGAAAACTAATTACAACATATCAATTTTAAATTAGAAAACAGTAAACATTTTGTTGCATGATAATTCAATCTTTTACTACAGGTTCTGGAGGTAAGTTAGCATTATGATAACATTTTATCACAATTTAGTGAATTTACATTAAAGCAGTCCAACAATCACTGTTGGTCATCATGCGTGTGAAATTTTGTGTATTCAAGTTGTGACAATATGTACATTAAAACAAAGGAGATAATTATTTTATACTTACATAAAGCTCACATTATTCATCCTGTTGTTGTACAACAGATTAATTAGGCAGGCTAATTCTGTTCTCCAGTTATGTTTTGCAATGTTAGGAAATAACTTCATTAATACCCAGTAGACTTTAAATTTTGCTGTAAGATAACTTAAAACTGGCCCATTTATTGGCGTCAATCTCCTCCAAACCAAATATCAAAGAAACAGCATTTATTTTCAATTTCAACAAATTTTATTGATGGTGTTTCAATGGGGTTTGACATCAGGCTAAGCCTGTTTAATTCCTTTCAAAATTTATTTAAAAAAAAGTACTATATAATATGCTGTTTGTGTTGTTGCAAGCTAAATTATAAGTGTAGGGGAGACAACTCGATTTTATAAAATTTTATCTTGTAGCATTGCCCATTTTTTTTCTCTTTGTAAAAATTTCAATTTTAGAAGGTTTCAAATTAAAATGGTACACTTTCATGTTTCAAATAAATAATACTGTGTAAATAAATACAATCTGTGTAGTTTCCGCTATAAATACTTTAAATACAAAATTTCTGTTTGGTTAAGGTTAAATAGGATTGTGTCACCATTTCTCGATATAAATGATACTGACAGAGATAAGTATTGCATTAATATATATCAATTTAATAAATGCTGAAATTGTGTAAAATTAATTATTTATAAACGATTAAAAATTGACATTTTATAATAAAACCATATACATAGTAATTGCATGTAAGAGTTATATTTCTTGAAAAACTTCACAGTAGTGAAATAGGTAGCCGGTTTCCTGAAGTACAGAAAAATGGACACATGTGACTCATTGATTAATAACAACTGAATTAATGCCTGGATTGCTTTGAAATGATTTAATATTGAGAGAACACACTGTTCTGTCAATAATAAACATACAATATTCATCAGTTAGATATTAAACATTAGAATATGCGGTATGTGATACTGTCTCCTTACATTGGATTTTCATAGGGATGTACTTCCTATTTCCGTTTATCAATACACTCCTATAACCTTAAAGGGATATCTCGGCGAAGCATATTTTTTCCGTTTATTTTTCAAATACTATATAAACATATCGAGTGAGTTTCCTTATGGAAAATAACGGTCGGATTTGGCTGATATATATTCACAAAAATGAATAATTATAAGATCACTATCAGGATTTCTACCTGTCTGACCAACGCTTTGACTGGGGATTCCCTCTATGTCAGAGCTACTAACGCATGTGCATAGCACATCATTTCATTGTTAATAAAATGACTGGCCGTGGGAAGCGTTAGAGCGAAAAAACCTAGGGTGAACAGGATTTTGGGCGAAATAACCCAAAACCATAGTGTCACTGCAATGTGACCGTCTGGTAAAAGATTTTTATTCAGCTCATTATGACAGTGTTTGAACATTATCATTCAAAAGAAACAACTGAGTAATATGTATTTAATGGAATATTATTGCTGTTTTCTACAATCAATTGTGTTTTTAATTAACAAAAATGTTAGACTTGAGCAAGTCTATAGTGATTTCCACTAATGCATCGTGATTGGTTGCTTTGACGCAACCCTCATAACGTGACATAACTTCCCGCCACCATTTAGTTGGTAATTTTAACTAAATGCTTTAAAACGTTCATAAATATCTTTGACGTTACAAAACATATTTTTACAGTCATACATATATAAACTGTACCTGTTCCGTTCATTGTTCCTTTTCAGTGGAGCCCTTATTCCCAGCAGGTGCGAGAAATCAAGTGATGTCGACTGTCTGGAACTTCTTCACGTGCGACCTTTTGAATTACTCCACTCCTCCGACAAGGAAAATAGTTGCATAATATTTTGGTATCTTTTTCTATTTTTTCATATTATATCAAACAATCCCCTTTTTGAGAGATGCGTATTTACATACTCTTTTTCTGAATGTTATTCTCTAATTTGGAAAGACATTTATACTTGATACATTTTTTGGTAAACAACTCGACGTATGAATATTTCTCCAGTGAGTACCCGGTAACCTTTGGGTCATGTCACCGAAGTTCGTTACATTAAGAAAATAAATATAGGTGTTGAAGGGTAAGTTTGTTGCATATATATATCATATAAAGTTGTTGCATAATATTCATATTGATACCAACAAGTATCATTATAATATTAATGACAGGTACTCGTGGAAGATGATGATCAGTAATCGCTAACAGTCGACCATAGCTGTCACTTATGATCAGCTGTTCAATGCTCATGTGTTTCGAAGTCATCTTGTAGCCAACCTGCGGTTATCACTCATGTTAACGAGGATGTAATCTTACAGTTACTCGAAAAACACTATTCATTCTGTAAGACGAACAACAGGTCGTTTGTTTATTACTTCGATAAAGGTTCTATAAATGAGTAAGGAAGTAAAGTTTCCTAATTTAGTTCTTGTTCGCCAGGCGACCATGACTTACATTAGTTGCTATAACCACCATATATATATACATATTTTATTAAGAGGCCTATTGACTTTTCTTTATATAAGATAATTAATATATCATATTGATAAAGGATTTTCAAATTTTAAGCTAATAGATCAGAATATTAATTTTGATAAGGCTTAATAAATGTATATGACAGTTATAATTAATTATAGTTAATTGAATCTTTAGATCACTGTGTCAAAAAGACTATTTGATCAGATTAAACGCAAAAGATAGGAAAATTATCTGCAAATTTAGAACTTCAAATATTAAGCTTCCAGTAGAAACAGGAAGATGGGTGGGAATTCAAAGACAGGACAGAATATGCCCACTTTGTAATACTGGTATTGGGGACGAGTATCATTACTTATATACTTGTAATAACGACACTTTAGTCAAAATAAGGGAAAAACATATTCCGGCCTATTTTTATACAAGTCCAAACCAACATAAAATGAAAGGAATGTTCACAATCTTTAATATGAAATTGTTAAAAAGTGTAAGCTTATTTGTTCAAAAATTAACAAAAGTACTTTAGTGTCTCTATTCTTTAAGTTTTTCTTTTGTTTGCTAGTGACATTTTTATAAGTTGAACACTGAATTATTTGTATGTAACTACACGTATATATATTTTTTATGTACTATGCTATGGTATAGAATGTTTGCCTGTCATGCACTCAAACTATGTTATATATACATGACCTCTTGTTACACATATTATGTGTGTCTGAGTGAAATAAAAATCTTGAAAAATCTTGTCAAACCCGATAACTCAGCACATTATAATATGTGTACTTAGATCCTTGGGTGAGTGATTATGATAGTTCAATGATGAGTGCATGTCACTATAACTTGGGTGTGTGTGATGTATATAGGTAGACAGCAGTGTAGGTTTTGAGTGGCACTGATTTTTTGTCACAGACATTTGGCATGTTGGTACATGTATATATATACCACTATGTATTTATAATGGTATAAGAAGAAAGACAATCCACTTACATGCAGCTTTTGTGAGTTGTTGTGTAATTAAATATTGAACAGATGGACATAGGTTACAGGTACATGTTCCTATTATAATGTGTACATGTCTATGTTTCCCAATTGTTAGTGTAACTGCATGATGTGCAATTACTGAAACTGATTTCTATAGCTTTAGTTTTATTGGTCTTGGTTAGTGCATATAACTAAACTACTAATATAGAACTTTTATGATGTTTTTTTTTTTGGAAACGAAAAAGGTCTATTGGCCCTGAAATTTGAAGAAAAATGGTGAAAATATGTGGAAACAAAAGCAAAGTGCAAATAGACTTCATTTTCATTGTAAAATATATTTCATCTTTATATGCTGTGTTGCACTTTTTAAGTATACCCTGGGGTTAAGTTTTGTTGAAATTTTCAAGAAAAAGTGTACATTGTAATTCTTTTTGAGAAATATTAAAATAATCCAATTGGAGAAAAATGGAGGTGTTTTCTATTTAAAGCAAACTGTTGAAAAATTACAAAAAAAAATGTGTTTGCGTCTGTATTGGATTTGCAGGATCTCCATTCATGTCAAGATCATTTTGCCAAAGTTGTTATCAACAACTGTGTCAGATTCCAAGCTGGCAGCTTCATAAAATGATGAAAATAAATTCTAGAAACAATGTTTTCGAGAGTGAAATATTTGGTCTAAACGTGTTCAGCTTTCAGGTCTAAAAGAAAGAGTACCATTGACTTCACTAACACTGAAAGATCTTAGAAGATAATGGAGCTGGAAGGCTGTAGTCAGACAGCTCCCGAGGATACCGGACTTCATGAGGCCTGTGGTGTATTTGGTTGTGTGGCCACTGGAGACTGGCCAACTCAACTCGATGTGGCTCACACCATCTGTCTCGGACTGGTCAGTCTGCAACACAGGTAGATATAACTGGTGACCTCTTAGGATTCTTTACAAATAAACTAAAATATACATATGCTACTCTGATATGGCATTAATGTGCTTTAGGTTTATTGAAGTGCGTAGCATTATGCTGCATGAATGTAAAAATAAAGTCCAACCTGCTCAAGCAATTACCTATTAAGGGACCACCTGTGTTAAGAGACCACATGTATTAAGAGACCACCTGTGTTAAGGGACCACCTGTATTAAGAGACCACCTGTGTTAAGGGACCACCTGTATCAAGAGACCACCTGTATTAAGAGACCACCTGTGCTAATTATAAGAAACTTGACTTTTTTGTTTCCCATTTTTTGTCGAAATAAATCCATATTAAGAGACCACTTGTGTTAATTAAGAGATAACTTTTTGGACTTTCCATTTGTGATCTAATAAAAAAAGTTTTGACATTGTAGTTAATATACTAGATTAAGTGAGGAATTTACAGGGAAAATATATTTCATATCAGCATTTAGTAATAAAATATAGCACCTATTGGTACCATGATACTAAAACAGTTCTAAGTATTCAAGTTGCATTGAGGAATCAGAAAATTACTTTGACTAAATTAATTGCAAGAATGAAATAAGGTACACATCTTATTTCTTGGACCTTGTCAACTTGATATACTCTGAAAGGAATCTATTTTTTGTAAACAGTAAACTTCACATTTTTGATGAATTTCTTTTTAAGGCCCTAGAATTTTAAAGAAGCATATCAGAATTAATAGAAAATCATAATTACACTAGAACACAAATTCTTTTTTCATGCTTCATGTTTGGGTCCCTGCTTGTGATAAGATCAGTATTATTGCATCATCCTGTGCTTCGAAATATTTCATTGTTTTTTTGGATCTGTTTAGTCATTTTCTCTGTCCACAGGGGCCAGGAAAGTGCAGGAATCGTGACAAGTATGGGTAGCAATGACTCGCTACACCGACAGAAGAAAGGCATGGGACTTGTCGGTAACATCTTCACGGAGGAAGACATTGTCAGGTTACGGGGCAACATAGGACTGGGTAGGTCTACTTAGGTACTGATAGAAGTGGTTGACAGTGTTAGCAAGGATGGACTTAATGTAAGAAAAGCTATATATATTTGGTATAAAACTTCTCAGTTTTATTTTATTTTATAGACTTCCATGTTTAATTTGGGTGTAATTTATTACACTTTAAGACAATATTTAAATAACAAACTATGTACACTAAATTTGACCATTAACTCATTCACCCCTGAAATTTATAATGAACTACTCCAAACTTTGAATTGGGAGAGTTCTAATGTGCCTTCAGGGGTGAATGAGTTAAAATCTATGAGTACCCAATAAGTACTTCTGGATGGACTTTAATAATTTCATATATATCACGTGTTGCAGGGGTTCCTTATCTCAGAATCTAGGCAAATCTTTTGTAAATCTGACATGGGCATACACTGTGATACATTGATACATATATGTAGATGTGTATGGAGGTTTATAAAGTTTCAAAGATCACAAGGGGTAGCATGAGGCACACTGGGGGGAAGTTGATACAGAAGGTGTACATAGAGGTTAGGGACTATGGATTGCTTGCAATAGTTTGAAGTATTCCTAATCTGTATTAATCAAGTCCATAACAATTGTTTTTCACAGGCCACACAAGGTATTCCACCCATGGCGAGTCAGACACTTCTAATGTACAACCGTTTGTGGTGGAAACATTGCATGGTCTGACAGCAGTGGCTCACAACGGACAGCTCGTTAACGCCAGGACTCTCAAACGCAAGGTAAGGTTACTCAATGGCAAGGTCGTGTTGTATGGAAAAGTGGCTCACAATGGACAGCTAGTTAACGCCAGGACTCTCAACGCAAGGTAAGGTTACTCAATGGCAAGGTTGTGTTGTATGGAAAAGTAGCTCACAACGGACAGCTCGTTAAAGCCAGGACTCTCAAACGCAAGGTAAGGTTACTCAATGGCAAGGTCCTGTTGTATGGAAAAGTGGCTCACAATGGACAGCTCGTTAACGCCAGGACTCTCAAACGCAAGGTAAGGTTACTCAATGGCAAGGTCGTGTTGTATGGAAAAGTGGCTCACAATGGACAGCTCGTTAACGCCAGGACTCTCAAACGCAAGGTAAGGTTACTCAATGGCAAGGTCGTGTTGTATGGAAAAGTGGCTCACAATGGACAGCTCGTTAACGCCAGGACTCTCAAACGCAAGGTAAGGTTACTCAATGGCAAGGTCGTGTTGTATGGAAAAGTGGCTCACAATGGACAGCTCGTTAACGCCAGGACTCTCAAACGCAAGGTAAGGTTACTCAATGGCAAGGTCGTGTTGTATGGAAAAGTGGCTCACAATGGACAGCTCGTTAACGCCAGGACTCTCAAACGCAAGGTAAGGTTACTCAATGGCAAGGTCGTGTTGTATGGAAAAGTGGCTCACAATGGACAGCTCGTTAACGCCAGGACTCTCAAACGCAAGGTAAGGTTACTCAATGGCAAGGTCGTGTTGTATGGAAAAGTGGCTCACAACGGACAGCTCGTTAACGCCAGGACTCTCAAACGCAAGGTAAGGTTACTCAATGGCAAGGTCGTGTTGTATGGAAAAGTGGCTCACAACGGGCTAATTAACGCCAAGACTCTCAAACACATAGTAAGGTTACTCAATGGCAAGGTCATATTGTAATGGGAAAGTTGCTCACAACGGACAGCTAGTTAAGGCCAGGACTCACCAACGCAAAGTAAGGTCACTCAATGGCAAGGTCGTGTTGTATGGAAAAGTGGCTCACAACGGACACCTCGTTAACGCCAGGACTCTCAAACACAAAGCAAGGTCACCCGATGGTCAGGTCATATGTTCAAATACGAATTAACATTTTGGACTGCAGCTTTAAATGTTCAAACAAAAGTATTTAAAGGCAATAAATGTTTGCATTAGTAAGTACGAGACACTTTTTATGTGGAGATGATGACATACATAGAATAATTTACAAGGTATAAAAGTAGCCAGCAACAGACAGCAGAGTAAGAACCCAGTAAAATATCTCCAGGTGCCATCTGTTTTTGAAAACACTTGTTCAAGTCCAAATGAAGGTTTCGATAGGCAAACTTAGATGTTCAGATAAAACATAGCTGATTTTTTACAATTACAAAATGTTATTAGGTTTCTATTTACAAAGTCAAGTGATATAAGACTAACAAAAGGTAGTGCACTCAAAAAAGGGGTTAGGTGCAAGTTTTTCAAGGCAGTGTGAGGTAATGAAAATAAAGTTATGCATTGGAGGGGTTTCAAAATTTAAGTAAAATTTCAAATGCGATGTTAGGGTTTTGAAAGAAAGGCAAGAGGTACTGGTGTGATTATTGTAAATCTTGGACATTGAAGTCACTTGTTATTTTACCTTTGTTGTTTTCTTTAGTTGCTGCGACATGGAGTGGGATTATCGTCGGGGTCTGACAGTGAACTTATCACACAGCTTCTTACTCACATGCCAGAATGTGGAGAACCAGACGGGGCCAACTGGGTTGGCAGGTAAGTCATAGCTCCATGGGGGCAATATTGGTTCAGCGACGATGGTGGGGACATATTTAGAGTAACCTTGAAAAAATGGTATATGAAAAATAAAAAACTGCAATATTTGACTGCATTGAAGTGAGTGATTTATAATGTAATAGTTGTATTTCGAAGCTAACATTGGAGGCATAGTGCACTTTTGGGAAAGAACGGTGCAAAACACCATCATTATTGCTATGACTGTTCTTCAATGATTCAGAAACTGACTTATTTATCCTTTAGATAATTATGGCATCACATTGAAAACTTTTGAATGTCATCACATGATAAGGGATTGTCAATGCAACAGCTGAAGAAATTAAATTGTTATTGCATATATACATTGTATAGGGGATGTCCATTGGAGTCAGTTTTTACTTGCATTTTAATTTGGTATTGGTTCGTTTTGTTTTGTTTGGGGGTCTAACGTCCTCACAACATTGCGACTGGTAGAAACATTAACACTTCTGCAATCGTTTTACAACTGAAATTAATCTGAGCAGTACTCAATCATTGGTAGAATTCCTGTCTAGGTAGGAATTTAACGATTTTAATAAATCAAAAATATTGAAACTACAGGTAGTAATAAAATTCATGATGTTTTTCTTGAAAAGTCTTTTTTTAATGTTTGTAAATTTATATATATTAGATATTCCAAAATAGCCCAATATTTTTATCAACTGGGACTTTTTCTGGAGAAAGGCAAATAAAATATTAAATTTAAATTTCAAAATAATGATTAGGATCAAGAGGATAATGCACGAGACAAAGGCGTCCTACGCCCTGGTCATCATGAACAAGGACAAGTTGTATGCTGTGCGGGATCCGATCGGCAATCGACCGCTGTGTTTGGGCAAGCTTCTCCCTGCTGCAACATTCTCAGGTACAATTTACGTCCAATGGAAAATACCACATTCATCTGAGCTCGAATTCAGTCTGTTTGGTTGCTTAGGTTAAGGAACTGATTACTTTAATACATACCCATTGAAAAACATGGATCTTTATAACGAAACAAAACTTACAACAGCATTAACTGCAGGTTTTATGGTACTATTGAGTTTTTGTTACAGTATGACTTTTAAAAATTGAAGATAATATGTACATATTGTCAAATCCTGATAACAAATCTGTCATGAATGCATGAAATATTATTTTAGATCTCTGCAATGAAATACGAAATCCAGAAAATGAATTGCATTTGTAAAATATAATTCTTTGCTTTGCATTATTTCTTTGAAGTTATTAGTTTTATGATATGATACATTTTCATTTAGCTAACTTACAAAGCTTTGCAAAACAAGGTGCCCCCACTGTGACACTGATTGTGTTTGGCTCCCACTGTGACACTAATTGTGTTTGGCCCCCACCGTGACACTGATCGTGTTTGGCCCCCACCGTGACACTGATTGTGTTTGGCCCCCACCGTGACACTGATTGTGTTTGGCCCCCACCGTGACATTGTGTTTGGCCCCCACTATGACACTGATTGTGTTTGGCCCCCACTATGACACTGATTGTGTTTGGCCCCCATCGTGACACTGATTGTGTTTGTTTTACAGGGAAGAAGATTCTGGACGACTCGGAGGTGGATGGATGGGTGGTGGCTTCAGAGTCATGTGCGTTCGGCAGTATAGGAGCTCGCTACTACAGGGAAGTCCTCCCAGGCAAGACTCTTACATAATCAAATACATGTAATACACAGAAGGCAATGCTACTGTTATTAAATGCGAGAAGCATTTCAACTCACTTCAAGCTAGTTTTAGAGGTTGGTCGGTTCGCTGGTGTAAAACACACTCACCTTTCACTAAGGCAGTTGAGATTGGATTATCAATCAACTGTGAAACAGTATGGAGTAAGTCACCTGCCTGACCACGTGGGTTTTCTCTGGTTACTCCGGTTTCCTCGCACATTAACAACCTCCAGCGTGCTATCACCCAAGCCAACAACAGTGATTTTTATTACTGGTACCTAGTTGAATAACTTGTTTCATAATTATTGTAAAACAAAAATTCATCTTTATATTTTGAGAGAAAACAATATTGCTGCAATGTATTTGAATATTTTCATAAATTACTGCTAAAAATGTTTTCTTTTTCATATGCTGGTTTAATTTTTCAAATTCAATACTGCATTAAAGAATATATATCAACAAATTGTATCAGTAAATTAGATGTTACACCATATTTCATTATTAATAGAGAAATATTTTTTTCCTTTTAACAAATTGCAAAACCTATATATAGCTATTCATTATTTTTCAAAGGTTTCTTCTGAAAAATATTATCCCTTCATCGAATGCTGAAAAAGAAATACGTTATTTCCTTGCAATTTGTTCGTTTCTAAGTTTAAATTTCACCTATTTTAGGCGAGGTTGTGGAGCTCAGCAAGAAGGGAGTTCGATCAGTGTATATGGCTCCCAAACACAAACAGACTCCTCCCGCCTTGTGTATATTTGAGTACGTGTATTTTGCCAGATCTGACAGTGTGTTTGAAGGTAAGTCCTGATCAGAAATATTATGCTCATAATTTGTTTAACCTGTTTGGAATTCCAATTTGCAATTATCTAGTAATTAGAACATATCAGTTATGTTGACGTTATCTGGGCAGCAGAATAAGAAAACAGTATTTTGAAAACTATGTAGAACCCGGAGACAAAACAAAGTGTAATTTTAGTCCCGTATGGTAAAATCGGACTCTCTGACTTTCAGGACAGATGGTGTATATGGTGAGACAGAATTGTGGCAGACAGCTAGCCAAGGAGGCTCCTGTAGACGTAGATATGGTCAGTACCGTCCCCGAGTCGGCCACGCCTGCGGCCATGGCTTACGCTGCTGCTGTAAGTATACCATACAAACATGCTCACATTGTTGACCATGTACTTTTGAATTACGTCAGATTGACAGTGTCATTGATGTGATATTTTGTCCCTTTAAAAGGCTTGTAACTTGTATGTGTACCATTGAAGATAATTTGACATAATTTTATTGTTATGTATTTAAGAAAGTTTTTAGTATAGGAATTGCGGGGCTTCTTTCTTTCTAGTCACACAAGAGTTCAAAATTCAATTTAGATTGTAAATATTTTTCAAATATATCAGATACATTATGTAAGCTGGTATCTAAACGCAAATTCAACACAGGGGCAAGTGTATTTGGAAAGATGCACAGGCACTTAACAAAGTGAAACTATCATAGTTGATATTTGTGTAATTAAATGTCCTTGAGAATTAGAACAATCAACTAAATATGATCACATACATGACTGAGTAGTAGGATAATGGATTCCTTACATGAATGATTTTGACTCATTATGTTACTGGATCATGTTTTGTTTCAGATTTTCATTTAAAAATGACATGTATGTTATTTCTATCAGATAAACAGACCCTATGGAGAGGTTTTCACCAAGAATCGCTATGTCGGGCGGTCCTTCATCCAGCCTAACATGAGATTACGACAGCTAGCAGTCGCTAAGAAGTTTGGGGCCCTAACGCAGAACTTCATTGGCAAGCGAATTGTGCTGGTTGATGACTCTATTGTCCGAGGTGTTACGATGATCCCCATCGTCAAACTACTGAAGGCCGAGGGAGCCAAGGAGGTAAGTGACTGCTAATGTAATCAGAGTTATTGCTAATTGTTCAATGACTAAATATGTACTCCTTAGTCGGAAACTGCCCCAATATGGGACCGTTCTCACTTTTTGGGGGGATTTATCCCCTCAACATTAAATATCTATAACATTATGGTCATCATTTATTTGACGCTGAAGCTCTTGGCTATTCGTCAATACGTTTCATTAAATAAAGAATCGGCTAACCAATTGATTCACCTTCAAATGTGGTGAAGGTTGGGGTAAGAGAATCAGCTGGTTTATTTTCCCAAGAGGAAAGAATTTGCTAGCTACTTTATTCTCCAAGGGAAAGTTCAACTTAGGGGAATGATAGAATTGGCTGCTACGCTGACAAATATTATGTATGATTCGTACATATGTACATGTGTTGCACTCATTGTCATAGCTCTAGCAACTTCATTACTGAACAGAGTTTCATGTAACTTGTTTGGTATGGCAATGCCTTGAACAAGATCGCGTTTCAGGATTCTATGTTGAAGGTCAAGGTCACTTACTATTTTAAGAAAAAAAATTGTCATCCTTCTAACGACTTCATTCCTCAACGGAATTTCATAAAGCTTTATTCAAGTGTGGTATGACAATATCTTGGAACAAGTTTGTGTTTTGGGTTTTTGCATTAAAGGTCAAGGTCACTTTCACTATTTTTAGAAGAAAAAAATGTCATCCGTCTATGGACTTCATTCCTCTTTACTGTGTAAAAGGTCAAGGTCACATTTCCTTTTTTAGAAAAACTTGGTCATCTCTCTTTCGACTTCATTCCTCATCGGAATAAAAATCTATTATATAATTATCTATCGAAGAACTCAGTGGCTAGAGCCGATACTGTTAGATCATTGAATTTTCTTTTCATTTCCCCAGTCATACCTATTTCGCGCAATGTGTAAATGCGAAGGGGATTTGTATCACTTGTGATGCTTTTTTAAACTAGTCAAACATGCATCATTTTCTATACAGGTCCACATACGGATAGCGTCGCCTCCCATCAAATACCCCTGTTACATGGGAATCAATATTCCTACCCATCAGGAGCTTGTGGCCAACAAAGTTCCTATTGACCAGCTGGCCGACTACTTTGGTGAGTAGTCTATATTGATCACTGGTTTATACGAAATAGTTACACTAGAAGAAAAGGAAAAGCAACACATTTTTATTATGTCATAGCCTTAAAAGTAACCCTAGAATTTGGTTCAGCTCACCTAGCTGTACAATAGAGTACATGACTCCCTGGATACAATAAATGTTTTGAAAACAAATTGCCGAACACAGAGCCCATAGCTGTTGTCATGAACTTTTATGTTTTTTCCTGTAAAATAATATGTTGGCTTTGAAAGCATATGAAGAACTGTATTTTAGTGTCACTGTTGGCCTGAATTTCAGTTTTATTTCCTATGAGAAATTCCTTTGCACATAGCTCCCTCTGATATTGCTAGCCCCATAGTAATCAAACTTTTAAATAAATGCATCTTTAGGAGTACTAGGCCGTCATATGAAATGTAGGTAGCTGTAATCTATACGGGGCAGATATTTTACATTTTATAGTTTGGAAATGTTTTCAAATTGAAAAAATTGAAGAGAAATCTTTTTGGTTAAGGCGTATACAACTTGTAAATGCAAATAACCTTCAGTAACAAGTTAAATATGGTCTTCTGAAATGTGTTTAGGCAGCAGAAACACACTTTTGGAAAGACAAGTGAAATCCCAATGTTAGATGCCCCTGACATTTATATCCGGTACAAGACCCTATTTTGAAAAAGTCAAATAGTTAATTAATTGCAGGTGAGATAGAGAATGTATTCCCCATTATTTAATTGCCATGTACATGTCCTGTGTTTTGATTGGCAGGGGCAGACAGTCTTCAGTACCTGTCTGTAGAAGGACTGAAGGCAGCAGTGACTGAAGGGATAAAGACTGAAGCAGAGTCTGGTCACTGTGTTGCCTGTCTTACAGGAGATTATCCAGTGGAGCCAGACTGGTGATATCTTCTCAAAGGGGAGCCTAATCTAGAGTCCAACAAACACTTCTGTGGGGAAATGATTTCTCGTCAACGGACTTCTTGGAGGGGGGCCACAGGTACTGCACAATCCAAGAGAGATAATAGCAACCTTCTGCAGACATGTGGAAGGGGAGGTTACTGTGGAGTCCTGGAGATTTTTGGAGAAGTCTTCAAGAGGGAAAGTGGAAGTAATTGTGAAGTTCCAGGGAGATGACAGGGGACTTCTCAAAGGGGAGACAACTTGCAAGCAAATGGTTCACATAACTGTAGTGATTAATGGCTTATCCAAGGGAAGACAACCAAGCTGGGGCTATAAACATGGCTATTAACAAAGACCAGTGATATGTTACTAAGTCTCCTTTTAGGGGTTTTGATTCTTATGTGGAACTGAGACCTTTGTTTTTCAGACTGTTGATAACTAACTGAGACCTTTGTTTTTCAGACTGTTGATAACTTTACTCCAATGACATTACATTGTGCCAATATTTTTGTGTTAAAAATCAGATGTTAAATTTTTTAATTATGTCGGAAAATCATTTCAGAAGCATCAATTTTTTTTGCAAGAAAGAGAGAGATTAAAAGTTTAAATTTAGCAAAGAATTGCTGAAAATCAGGTCTCTAGATTATGGTTGGATGAATTGTATGCAAAAAGCAGTAGTTTACTGGGAAATTTGTCGCTGCAGTTTAACTTTCGCCTTTTTTCATGACTGTTGTGTAATATCAACTTACAATACACAGTAAATCCATGTATAGGGCAAAATCTACACTGGGCGAAGATAGACTTAATGAACTAATACAATAAAGAGGCACGGAAGTCTAGTGGTAGGACGCTGGGCTTGTGACCGAAGGGTTGCAGGTTCGAGTCACGGAACCTACTGTACTCCATCTTTGTTAACAGGCAGTCGTACATTAGCCAAGATGGCTGTATTCAACGAGAAGAATGTTTAATTAGATTCTACTGCCAACATTTCTATGTAAACTGAATTAGCTGTAATCCATAATCATCAGGAGGGAAGTTGTCATTGATCAAATTTTTATTGGGAAAGTGACATCAGGATTATGACTGTTGAATATGCGATGTAACGATATTATAAAACTGCAGCTTTCATGAATTCACTTTGAATTCAATTATAACTTAATAGTGTCAGGGTAAACAATGTGTTTTCGACAATCCAGATTTATGTAAATAATGTCAGAATTTGAGCTCTAGTCATTTGTTGTTGTGCAAAACTTCCAATACATACATTATTTTTTTAATGTTTGTTTTTGCAATTGTTTTTTTAGATGAATTTAACTTTGGATTTTTTAATGATATTTGTACATTACTTTTACAGTTCAAAATTTATATACATATTTTTTGTAGCAAATTATATTAAATAACAGGAAAAAACTACAAAAAAAAGTATGAGTTAAAAACTGTTAATTAATTTTTAAATTGCTAAATTTTCACTTGTAAAGCATGCATTGCATTTTCATTTCTTGTAGGATATTTATATATTTGTTTTTATTAACAAACAAATAATGTACATAATCTGTGTTTACTACAAGTGTAAATATATGTATTATATATTGTATAATAAAAGATTTACCGGCCTGTTGGATCTTGGCAGTTGTTCTTCATAGTGACCCACTGTTTAAATCACTATTATAACCGATAAACTTGCTTGGGTTTGAATAAAAGATGTTACAGTGTCATATGTCGCTGATCTTTGAATCATCAATACCCGGTAATCAAGGATATAAATAATTCACTGTGCAGATTTACTGCAGTTTTTCTCTCTCGGACGTTTTGTTATAACATATACATATACAGTGTATCAGAAGTATATCTTTTGTGGAACTAGTTTTGATTACATAACTTACTGTTTTTTAGGGAATTCTCATGAAATCTGTAATCATGTCGGATGAATTGTCTGTAACCTCAGTACCGTAAATCATCAATATGTTGTTCCTCTGAAACCTCGGTACCATAAATCATCAATATGTTGTTCCTCTGTAACCTTAGTACCGTAAATCATCAATATGTTGTTTCTCTGTAACCTCAGTACCATAAATCATCAATATGTTGTTCCTATGAAACCTCAGTACCATAAATCATCAATATGTTGTTCCTCTGTAACCTTAGTACCGTAAATCATCAATATGTTGTGCCTCTGTAACCTCAGTACGGTAAATCATCAATATGTTGTTCCTCTGTAACCTCAGTACCATAAACCATCAATATGTTGTTCCTCTGTAACCTCAGTACCGTAAATCATCAATATGTTGTTCCTCTGTAACCTCAGTACCGTAAATCATCAATATGTTGTTCTTCTGTAACCTCAGTACCATAAATCATCAATATGTTGTTCCTCTGAAACCTCAGTACCATAAATCATCAATATGTTGTTCCTCTGTAACCTCTGTACCGTAAATCATCAATATGTTGTTCCTCTGTATCCTCAGTACCGTAAATCATCAATATATTGTTCCTCTGTAACCTCAGTACCGTAAATCAGCAATATGTTGTTCCCCTGTAACCTAAGTACCGTAAATCATCAATATGTTGTTCCTCTGTATCCTCAGTACCGTAAATCATCAATATATTGTTCCTCTGTAACCTCAGTACCGTAAATCATCAAAATATTGTTCCTCTGTAACCTCAGTACCGTAAATCATCAAAATATTGTTCCTCTGTAACCTCAGTACCGTAAATCATCAAAATATTGTTCCTCTGTAACCTCAGTACCGTAAATCAGCAATATGTTGTTCCCCTGTAACCTAAGTACCGTAAATCATAAATATGTTGTTCCTCTGTAACCTCAGTACCGTAAATCATCAATACGTTGTTCCTCTGTAACCTCAGTACCGTAAATCATCAATATGATGTTCCTCTGTAACCTCAGTACCGTAAATCATCAAAATATTGTTCCTCTGTAACCTCAGTACCGTAAATCAGCAATATGTTGTTCCCCTGGAACCGAAGGACCGTAAATCATCAATATGTTGTTCCTCTGTAACCTTAGTACCGTAAATCATCAATATGTTGTTTCTCTGTAACCTCAGTACCATAAATCATCAATATGTTGTTCCTCTGAAACCTCAGTACCATAAATAATCAATATGTTGTTCCTCTGTAACCTTAGTACCGTAAATCATCAATATGTTGTTTCTCTGTAACCTCAGTACCATAAATCATCAATATGGTGTTCTTCTGTAACCTCAGTACCATAAATCATCCATATGTTGTTCCTCTGAAACCTCAGTACCATAAATAATCAATATGTTGTTCCTCTGTAACCTTAGTACCGTAAATCATCAATATGTTGTTTCTCTGTAACCTCAGTACCATAAATCATCAATATGTTGTTCCTCTGAAACATCAGTACCATAAATCATCAATATGTTGTTCCTCTGAAACCTCAGTACCATAAATAATCAATATGTTGTTCCTCTGTAACCTTAGTACCGTAAATCATCAATATGTTGTTCCTCTGTAACCTCAGTACCGTAAATCATCAATATGTTGTTCCTCTGTAACCTCAGTAATCACAAATCAGCAAAACAGTGAGCAATGCAGAGATTTGGGCATCTCTACACTAAGTTATGTTGACGATTTGCTGCAATTTGAAATTCACAGCAAGTAGGTATATTGTGCACGCATATTTTTATGCTCAATTAGTTCAGGCCTGGGTCATAGTAAAAATTAACATCTGTAAATTATAATCAGCACTTTGCATATAAATGTAGTCTATTTTATTTCACTAATTCAACTATTTCAATAGTTCAACAGGCTGTAACTGAAAAAAATGACAGGTACATATCCCAATAAAGGCTGACCTCTAGAATGTAGATCAAGAGGTCAAGTCGTTCTCCTATTTGAGTCACTGACCTTCACCTCTAAGTCAAAGAAGAGCAATGCAAATATGCATATTTGCTAATGGGAAGACACATGTTTTTTTGTTTAAGTTGTATATTTATTGACATATTTTGCACAGAAGGACAGCTTTTACTCTCATGACACATTCTATATAAAATGTATACTTTATTTATCTTACAACTCATATTAATCACTCATGTTGGCCCCGATGTTAGCGTGCAGAGAGGGATCGAGTCTAAGTGTAGGAGGAAACCGGAGTACCCGTAGAAAACCAACGGGGTCGGACAGGTGACCCCAACCTTTCACATCCGATTGGGGAATCGAACCCCGGCCGCCTTGGTGAAAGGTAAGTGCACTATACACTGCACCACCCGACACATCCTACAAACCAAGTTTGGGCTACTTTCCCATCATTAATTTACCTGACACCAAGACTCCTGAAATGAATCACTTTGGTTGGTTTTCCTGGCTTATTTCTCTGCAATTAATTAAATTCTATCAATGTTATCCCTTAACACAGTTTGCAGCTCTGGAGTTGGACAGATGTTATACTGTACTAGGGAAAGTGTATTCCACAGGGTCCTGTATCCTGTTGCAATTTGTAGTACCACAGATTATTTCCCACTGTTTCTGCAGATTACTGGTCCAGTGCTCTATACCAGTTCAACCAAAACAAATTAAACTCAATAGGAAGACCAAACCGTGATTCTTTTTTAGATATCGGCCTTTTTTATTATTAGGAATCGCATTAAAAATAAACAGTCAAATTTGTTTGTGATCATACAGCGTATTCTGTCTAATCTTGACTCCCCTGGAACCACATAATTTGGCCAGTTTGCAGAGAGTTCCAGATTGAAGTGTTTACTTGTAGAACCAAATCTGGTGATCCGTTTCATAGACATAAATCTGGAAATGGATAGATGTATCAGGAAACGAAAGATACCATGTCACCCTGGTAAAATACTAGCTGCTTCCTACAAACTCAGCTAGGGAGAATTTCCCTTAGCTCAGTTGATGGTGCATCAGACAGTTAATCAGAGGTCTTTTGGATCAACTCCTAGGAGAAACATTAAAAAAAATATTGACCTCAAGACCTTACATTGGCACGGAAAAATATAGATAAAAATACTAAGCCTTACTCCACAATTATTGATGTTACCCCTGTAAAAACTCAAAGACAAGTTCTTTCCTGTAGTTCTTTCAAGGTCCTTCCTGGTAAAATACAAACCACTTCCTAACAACTTTGTAAGGGAGAATTTCTCTTTCACTCATTTGGAAGAGTGTCAAGACTGTTGACCCCAGGAGGAGACATTACAAATTATTACCTCCGTACACAGAGTTTGTTACCTTACATAGTATGGCTTCACTTGAGGAATACACTGTTGCCATGCATATTTGCATACTTCTTGAGGATATTCAAATTTTCCATTCAAAAGTAAATTTCAGCTTAAATTCTCAGCACAAATTTTTGTCCTCTATATTTCTGGTTAAATTTTCTTATTTCAATATGTGGATGAAATCAATAGACAAATTCATTCTGGAAAACAATCCTAGTGGTTCAACACATGTCACATTTAAAATCTCTAACCAAAACCTTCAAACGGTACAAGAATGAATATCTTCATTCTTTGTTGTATGGATATTTGTTTCCATTGTCACCACAGTAACCTTGTTTGGAGGTATTCTCCTGTGGCTTACAAATTCAATTTGAAAGTGAGAACGAGACTCCATACAGCTGTCGCATCACTGACCATTCGAGTAACAATTACAAATTAAACAGTCCGACAGAGTTTCAGGATTTGGATGCCATGATCTCCTCAATGTGGTCGGGATCTTTCACACAGTTCGCAGACAAGACGATGGGCTCAGAGTCTGTGATGAGCAAATTATCCTCTATCCGTATGGCGATTCCTCGGTACTCCTCCGGCACAGTGGTGCGATCCTTAGGAATATAGACACCTGTACAGGTAGGTAGAATATGTACATAAAATGACACAATTACTGAAATACATTCAAAAGCTGATCTTCAAGAATATAACTAGACACCTGTATAGGTAGGTGAAATATGTACATAAAATGACACAATTACTGAAATACATCCACAATTTTCATATAAAGTATATAAAGAGAAATACAGTTTAAATACGTCCTCTGTTTATACTTTACAGTTTTACCCTAGAATATTTTTATCATAGAATAGTATTACTGACCAGAACATTAACCATCAAGTGATATATGCCGTATTTATCAGTGAAATGCCTGTGTCTGGCACTAAGCCAATCCCCCATTTCTCCTTACTATCTGTTCATAGCATGATTAGCTGTTAAGAATTGTTCACAGAGACTGTATCGATAAAGGATACTTTCAACCCAAACTTTAAATTCATCAGCATTTTCATTAAGGTACTAAGCTATACAATGTAAAATTCTACTATGACCTGTATAAACAAGTAGAATTTGTATGAGAATTTGACATAATCAAGCATACTAAGTATTGCTAAAGCAATACATGTCCCCTACCGGCTCTAAAAATAGTAACAGAGACCTTGACCTTGACCCGACAACCCTGAAACTCGAAAGTGTCTGAGATATTATGGTCTTTTGTAATTGTATGAAGTTTGATCAAAATCCCTCTAGGAATGAAGCCGCTAGAGCGGTGTCTAAAAATAGTAACGGTGACCTTGACCTTGACCCAATAACCCTGAAACTCAAACTTGTCCAAGATGTTATGGTCCTTTGTAATTGTATGAAGTTTGATCAAAATCCCTTAAGGAATGAAGCTGCTAGAGCGCTGACAAGGATTTTCTAAAAATAGTAACGGTGACCTTGACCCGACAAACCTGAAACTCAAAATTGTCTGAGATATTATGGTCCTTTGTAATTGTATGAAGTTTGATCAAAATCCCTCAAGGAATGAAGCCACTAGAGTGCTGACAAACATTGGTGTTACATATGTATGTATGTACACAGACGGATGGAGAGGAATACTATAGTCCCCCACCCGGATTCACCGGTAGGGGACTAAAAAGATCCGTCAATTGTCTCACACATTGTTTCTTTTCAGATTAAACCAAGTAAATTGTTTAATGGATTAAAGACTTCTTAATGGATTTTGTTTGCAAATAACATCACCATCCTGAGGATGTCACATTGCTTCCTTGGTACGTTTACATGTAATAACATTAGTATGGGAATAAGCTTGACAAACATGGAATGAATTGTTACTGTGACCTTGACATTGACTGACATGCATTTAAAGCAATGACATTGATTGACCTTGTATCAAAGTTTTACTTTCTACACCAACAAATGTATGTATTTAACGTGTCACAACGTTTCAAGACCGACTGGTCCCTTTGTCAAGCTATGACTGAGTGAGCGATATGTATTCTTTACTTGTGCAATTGTATGTTTTCATATCATTTGACCCAGGATGTTTCACCTATCTATTTGTTTGTGTCGAAAGTAAAACTTTGATATTACATATTTCAAAACTGATGAATCTTATTGAAGATATGGATTGACCTAAAATTATGAGGATGACCTATTAACTCAGCTACACATGACTGACCTTAACTGACCTTATGCTAAAACTTTGCTTATCTGTCACCTGAGTATTCTGACAAGCTGTGATATCTGACAACAGCTATATCCTCCCTTGTAATATAACAACCTGTAAATTATGACACCCTTGTCTAATCAAATCAGTTCATTGGATCTCACCGTATGTCAGATTAGACAAGTTTCACTGTACAACCTTGACTGACCTGGTTCGATGGCGATGATCATGCCCGGCTGGAGCTTGGTATATCTTGACATAGTAGGAGTATCATGTACATCCATCCCGAGGTAGTGGCCAACATGGTGAGGATAAAACGCTCGAAGTTCCTGGAAAAAACAACATTTGTTTGAAAAAATAAGTTCTCTACATGTTTTCTTTTGGACAGCTTAAACAACAAAATGTGTGAATACATTCCTGGAGTAAATAAACATAGGGGGGCCCTTAACAGTCACCAGAATGAAATCATTAATGATATACATATACCTGATGTTGTCGAGTAAATTTCACTGTGTGGGGCGTAGTAAGCAATGAATGATTTCAAAGAAGTTTGGTCTAAACACACCACCAACTTCAGCAAAATCTGACAGGTGGTTACTTATGACAAGTTTATATAGGACTGCTTATAAACGACCCATTGCGTTAAACAAAACAAAATTGTGATAGGTCACCTGATAGAAGGGGACGTAAAAATCATGTTTGTGAAATACCAAATGGGAATGATTAATACACACGGGCGAGTTCACTGCGGCTCACCTGAACCTACCTGGAAGAAATCTGTTGTCTTATCTTTGGGCTTCATTAGGCCGAGAGACACAAGTTCATCTCCTAATAAATGAAGCATGTATACATATATCTGCTCCAAACTGAATTGGGGTGTACAAAGGGAGATCACTTTCAGTTGGATGCGCAGAACCATCTCGTACAGACGTCGCTGAACAGGGCTGAATCGACCTGAAACATACATTACATACAGACATGAGGAGAAAATCTAGTAGTTCTATTAACCTTATGTAGACTTAGAAATCACACTGATTCTATAGTACCTGTAGAAGGGATATAACTGAAGTGTGCCAAGGTTACTACACAAGAGGCTGTAACTATTGCTGTCCCTATCTGAAGCCGTCTCGTTTTCCTTTTATTCATTTAACATGCATGATGATTTGTCAAAACAGAACAAACCAGTCCCAACAAGAGGCCAAGAGGGCCTGGATCATTCATATTTGAGCTTTCAAAGGAAAATATTCTCAATTAAAGTACTTTTGCAAATATTTCCATATATTGAGTCTCCTTGGCTTAAGAATATGTATGAAAATGGAACCTTTTATACAACTCTATTTCAGCATGCTACTGGTCAAATATCATCAACAAGGGCCTCCTGGTATTTTGGTAGAAGTATTCACATATTTAACTCCTGTGACCTTGAAAGTAGGTCAACGTAATTTATTTGGAGAAACTTTATAGCACTCTGTCCTATGTACCTACTAGCAAAATATCATTACTCTGGACCTTCTGGTTATTCTGACGAAGAAGTTGTTTAAAGGTTTTTATATATTTGACCCTTGTGACTTCGAAAGTAGGTCTAGGTAATTTATTTGAGAAAAACTGTCCCAGGTACCTACTGGCTAAATATCTTTGATCTAGGCCTCTTGGTTATTCAAAATGTTCTGTTTTAATTTTTTTTTTGATAATTTTGAACCCTGTGACCTTGAAAGTAAGTCAAGATCATTGATTTGAGGACAACTTATAGCACTCTGTCCCAGGTACCTACTGGTCAAATAGCATTACTCTTGGCCTCCTGATTATTCAGAAGATGTTTAAAGGGATTTTGAACACATTTGACCCCTATGACCTTGAAAGTAGGTCAAGGCCATTTATATGAGGTAATTTTATAGCACTCTGTCCAAGGTACCTACTGACCAAATATCATGGTCCTAGGCCCTCCAGTTCTTAAGAAGAAGACGTTTAAAGAAAAAGTTGATGGACAACAGACAACAGACAACATACCATACCATAAGCTCAACAGGCTAAAAATCATGAAGCAAACATTAGTACCAGTAAATCATTGATGTTCTATTATACCAGATGAAATTACTCTAACTTGACCTATCTAAGGCTGGCCATGTATCTTGGGCTACATTCGCGTATCCCAGTTGAAATCGTGCGTGTGGCGCAGAAATATTCCATGATAAACGAACACGCTTGGACCGTTCTATAAGCGGAACTACTAATGCACAGTTTCGGAGAATAAAAAACGGTGTATCAAGAATGTTATGACCTTCTTTCATCCGTCCACTGAATTACATGACGTATCTTAAAACTACATGTGACTTGACATTGTTTTAGAAAGAAATAATGCAAACTGGCAATAGTCAGCATTTTAGTTTCGGTCAGGTATGTCTGGACCCCTCAATCTACACGTGCCAAATTTTCCCGAGGTCAACCTCGGTCCAGATCTGTGCCTGTCATTTTCTTTACAGGTTCACCGGTTCAACCGTTTCAACCGGATACGCGAATGTACCCCTGGTGAGGTCACTGAAGTCTATTATAGAAGGGGAGGTTACTCTTACTTGTACCAACCTGAAATAAGCCATGTCCTTGTGAGGTCACTGGTATGGTCAGTGATGTCTATTATACAAGGGGAGATTACTCTTACACATACCAACCTGAAACTGGCCATATACATGTACTGGCATGGTCACTAGAACTAGTAGCTTCTATTATACAAGGGATATTATGCTTACTTATAACAGATTACTCTAACGTATACCAACCAACCGAAGACTGGCAATGTACATGTCCTGGTGAGTTCATTGGTACAGTCAACAAAGTTTATTTAACAAGGGGAGATTACTCTAATGTTTACCAACCTGGTCCTGATGAAGCCACTGGAACACTCACTGAAGTCATTATACAAGGAGAGTTTACTCTTTACCTGAGACAGGCCACGTCCTGGTGAGGTCGCTGCAAAAGCCATGGTATTCACACCCTGCATCCATCAGTACCATTTCCCCCTCTGACACTATTTGATTGTTCTTGGTATAATGTATGGTGTTCCCACGGTGACCACCTATAATCAAATAATAATTCTTAGTTCAAAAATAGAAACATCAAGCTAATATCAAAGTTTTACTTCATACACAAACAATGCACGTATTGTCAAGCTATGATTATGTGAAGAAAATGTATATTTTGATGTCACTTGACACGGGATTTAGCAATCTAGACAGAGATCAATACTTAAAAGTATTTTATTTTAGGACTACTTCAGATTATAAATCAGCATGTACTATAACCGACACAAACCTAACATGTTATGTTAACTTCGCTATTTTGACTGTTATTTACAATTTTTATCCATAAATGGTAGTTCTTCTTCATCATTGAATCAAAGGGTTCCACTCTTTATACTATCTTCTTAAAACCCTTGGAATATGTCATGATAAAATAGACAGCTCACAGTAACCTATTTGATTGGTTTAAGGTATATATATAAGAGATCCCAGAGGGATCTTGGTGCTCATTAGTTCTATTTAAGTTTTATTGTGTCTGGTTTTTTCCCTTTTGGATTGATAATCTTGTCAATAGTTTATGAATGTTGTGCTAACTTTTATTAAAAATTCATGCAAGTGTTTAACAGTTTCCTTTCCACTGCTGTTTGACCTTTTTATAAGGTCTGCTGTTTGACCTTTTTATAAGGTCTGCTGTTTGACCTTTTTATAAGATCTGCTGTTTGACCTTTTATAAGGTCTGCTGTTTGACCTTTTATAAGGTCTGCTGTTTGATCTACAATAGTAATGTGTGAAAAAAAAGCTTATACAAGATCTATTGGGAACTTCTTTATAGATATACATATTGAAAATAATTGTTAACAGGTTAAATTTAAGATTACTGCCTAAAGGCCAGTTTGCTCTTCCATTCAATATCAAAATGAAACATGCACAACACAGGACCAAGAGGAACCTATATATGAAATTTGAGAAAGGTCTGTCAATTAGAAAAAGAGAAATAGCTGTAACAAACTTAAAATGTCAAAACCCAAGATGGCTACATATATATAGCTAGTGAAACTTGTCTATTATGAAAATCGACATTATTTTACAAAATTTAGTACAGAACTACATGTAGGATTGGTCAAACAATATCAGTTTTCAGAATAGAATAAGGGTTTGTATCATACACTGTTTAACTTCTTTAATATAAACTTTTATTTATTTAACAACAATAATGTAACAAGTTACTTCAACTTATATTAATCACTCTTGTTGGCCCGGATGTTAGCGTGCCGGAGGAAACCGGAGTATCTGGAGAAAACCCACGTGGTCGGGCAGGCGACTCCATACCTGTCCACGTCCAATCAGGGAATCAATTTCACTTCTTTACTTTGACAAGGGGAAAATGGAGGACCAAATATCAAACCTAGTACACATTTGAATCCAGATTAGACAGGGGCTGCTTCAGACAGGTAAAATATTGTTAGAAGTTATAAGTGTGCCTATATCTCTACATATAACTGTTGCCATAGAATATATAGTTACCAGCTACAACAGGTGGATAGGCTAACATCTGAGCATCTCGGAGTTTACATTCATACTCCATCTTTGCATGGAGATACGATTCGTTCACCTGAAATAATGAATACATGTATACTGTGTAGATTATAACTATTTTTAGGAAAGTCCCTAGTTAAACAAGAGGCCTAGGAGTCTTTCTACCTTTCCTTTTGTCAATTTATAAAATGTCAAATATAATACATGTATATCAAATGAGTACAAATTAATAAATAAGTTAAAAGCAGGCAAAAATTTAGCATTGACAGTCTTAATACCCTATTGGACCTGGCCCTTCTGTCAAAATGTAGGCATGACCATATAACTTGTATTTGTATACAGTTGAATTCCCCATGGCTCAAAAATCCTATAAACCATATAAGGTAAACACTTGATTAGTAAAAAAGGGTTGTCTTTTCAACATTCGTGTTTGAATCCTCTGATGAACATCATGAGCTTTACCAATTATGAAGGAGCAGGCATTTACATATTCTACACACTATTAGTTCCTGTTCCGCAGGATGGCAAAGAGGGGGATGAAGCACACAACTTTTGTTAATTTATCTTTAGAGGGACTTGGTTGGGTAACTGATGATGACCAGACAACTCTATTGGTTAAAGTATCTGGCTAAAGTTTAGAGGTTCCAGGTCTAAAGTTTGGAAGATCCAGGTCTAAAGTTTGGAGGTTCCAGGTTCAAATCCTGATCTGGCCCCTCACATTTTCATGTCCTATTATTACACAACCTTAAGCTCCTTTTCCTGGTTGCTCAATGATAACTATATTTTTCCTACCCGGCTCCATCTCTCTGTCCTAATGGAGTCAAGCTCTTGGTAACATCCTCAACTTATAGAATCCTAAGTTCCTTTTGCCCAAAGGTGCTCCATACTAACTTTATTTAAAATATATATTAAAAATTTAGTATTAGCCAAACTTTCAGATTTTCCTTAATCTATTTCCCCCTTTGGGCTAGAGACAAAGACGATGGCAACTAACCAATAAAAGTTTAATGAATACTTCATACATGGAAAGGCAATATGCAAATTCTCCACAATCACTAAAAAACAAACTTCTGGAATTACAAAAACAACACATTATTGTGTGTGTATTATTTTTCGTACAATATTTCTTATTGAATACTAACCATGGGGTAGGAGAACCTCATGACCTCTTCCAGTGACTCGGAGGCAATATCTACACTTTTCAGCATGAGCTGAGCCTCTGCGGGAGACTTGATGACTCTGGTTTGGTGTATTTTCTGTGTAGTGGTCTCGACACACTTCTGTTTGCCCTGAAGGATGAAGTCCTCAATCCCCGCCCCATGCAGCTGTGGATGAACCTTACCTTCTGCATCATACCATATCACATAATCAGAGTGTTCCTTACTATAATCCTGTAAAAAGTGTCGCAAATCCTCTGTGTTGTAAGCCCCATCCACTCCCGTGATTTCCTCTGCCCCCTCTCGGCCAGATCGTTCCCCCTCCCAAAGCTCAGCATAGGGGTCCTTCCTAGGTACAAAAAGCACAGAAGTCATTCCACTGCGGGAGTTGGGGGTGCTGTTTGGGGTGCTATTTGAGACAGGGACATTTTGACTGTTGTGAAGGATCAGAACACTGTCTGCTTCCTGGAAGCCACTGAGGTAGAGGAAGTCTGTGTTCTGTCTGAAGGGGTATGGGATTGGAATGGTCATATAAAGTCTACTTGCTGATGGGAAGATCATGATGTGCTCCTTCACATTGTTACATCCTTCAAACTGATCCAGGGCAAGTTTAAACACATTGTGACGCCTATTACTGTATTCTTCCTTTGTCACAAATGGAGTGACCTCCCCTTGTTTGAGAAGATGAGGATGTGTTTGAGCCACAGGTTGTCCAAAGTTTCGATGTAGAATAGTCAACGGTTGATTTAACCTAAACAATCTTGAAAAGGTTCTCAAGGCATTACAGCAACCCACTGAAACAGACGGAAGAGGATCTTTAAGGTATTCCATGTATAATACACATTGTTTTGGAAGTAAACAAAAAATCATATTTTTATTTTACGCACACGCGTAACAAGTCTTTCCCAAAATTTCATAACCTTTTACCACATATTTTTTCCAGTTTTAATGCAATTTTTAAGTACAACCCATGGTTCAGAGTCCATTGAAATGACAAAAGCCTTCCATATGCAGACAGTTATGATTTTATTTCCTTTTTGTAAACCATATACTTTTATATACTGACAAGTAGACCAAACATTGTAGATAACAAGAATGGAAAAAATAATAATTCATTACAGAAATTCAAAAAAATGCATTTATTCATATACCATATAATATGGTATATGAATAAATGCATTTTTTTGAATTTTGATATTGCCATAAAATCTCAAATGTTTGTACTCCATTTTGGATGGTTAATGTTCGAAAAATAATTTGTAAAATCTCTTTACAATGCAAAAAACATAATAATCAAAATTTTACTGTCTGAATTTTGAAAAAAAGGTATATCTATTTGGAAATTATTTCATATTAACATCTCATCATGAAGGGAGGTAACTAATTCTCTAAGAGACATCACTCAAAGCAATGGATGTATTGTACTTGCAAACAAAAATAACCACCACCCTTGATAAACAATCATGTACACTTTGGACATCATTCCACAGCCCACTAGTGCATGGTATGTTTACATGTCAGGTACATACTGTATGTAACCAGAGGTTATTGCATGGTATGTCATTCTCACACGCACCCACACATCATTTTCATAGGGATTTTGATATTTTACAAAACACTATTTTCGCATAGTTAGTGCACTACATTTGTAAAAATAATTTTCCCGACAAAGCTTAACTTGCTCAAAAGCGAAAAATTGTAATGACCTGGAGCTTGTGAACTGGCATAGCACATTATATGAACATGTGAGTTCGGTACACAAAACACATCTGGCCGCATTCCATATAAAACCTTCTTGAAGTCTTTGTATGGGAAGCTTTCTTTCTTAAGTACGTGTGATTATACATTTCCCAGAAAAGAATCAATATCAGGTGATGAAATATCATCGTCTCACACGTGTACTATTGTTTACCTGGTGTAACTATAAATTATACTACGGTATTGAAATGCCCAATATGAAATACGGAAATAACAACACAAAAGTATGCCAAGAAAAAAAGTGTATTAGGAAGGGTTGGATGTCCTCGAGGAACCCTGTCGCACTGCATGCAAAACATTTAAGAACTGTTATATTTCACACAGACAGTAACCTTACTTTAGTTTCATTTTGAATATAACTGCATTGGTATCTCCTTTTTATCACGCCCCAGTTGCTCAAAGGTTGGTTAATGTTAACCAATGGTTCGTGAAAATAAATTGCTGCCACTAAAAAATAAAGGCTTTCATAACAGAATAAACCATCAAAACACATCAATCTGATATGTCTCAAGGAGTGAAATGACATCAGAGGGTCTGAATATTGTTGTCTCCATAATATTTGAGATTTGTCCCTAACCACTGTTTAATTTTGTAGTTGCGTGCACTGACTTTTGTCAGACGGTTGAAGTTCATCATCTTCTTAATAACAGCAAAAACAATGGCATCCACCATCATCATGATAGAAGAAATTGTAGTATCGAAAATGGTGGTCTTTATGTATATAATGCACATTTCAGCAGTTTTATCATTAAAATAAGTAAATATTGATACGTACTCGTCGTGTGTGTTTGACGGCACTGCCGCCGCAGAATATAACTTATCGCTTATTTCATTAAAAATTAAATTAAAATATAGGAAAATGTATAAACAAACTACAAAATTAAATCACTATTAAATTATCGTAAAATTCAAGTTTATAAATTTAACATGCACTGAATGCACCTTAGTTGTTTGAAAAAGTTAATTGGCAAAAACGAAACAAAGTTTTTTTAATTGTATAAGGGGCATACATCGGTCTTTCTTCTTCCGCTTCTGTAGGGAACGAGGCTAGGCCCTTAATAGTTGCTGGAAAATTCGGACGGCGTCTCTCACGTGCGTTGCTGTAAAGTGAAAGCAGAAGGTGACTTTGTCATTACTCTGGTGACAGTATATTTGTCTCGTTAGGAGATGTCAGATTTCGCATGTTACTTGTTTAAAAGGGGAGCACTATACGTTTCAAATGATAAAACATGCTTGTATTTTTGTAAATTTATGCTGCACGTAGCCAAGGGGAGATAATATTTGGTTCTATAAATTAGGGTATATACACTCTTATGATTGACCACAATTGAAAATCATAATGTTTTGTGTACACTGTTTAGAAAAGATGAGTCTACCAGCCAAGGAGGTGCAACTCCTGCGGGCATTTGTACAGATGTGCAGGGCCAACGCTAGTGTTCTCTACAGCCCCGACCTCCAGTTTTTCAAGGAATGGCTAGAAAGGTATGTAACGTTCTTCTTCTTCCATTTACTGCGGCAGATCTCATAAATATGAGTGCAGTTGCCTCAATTGTAGGTGTCCTTGGAGGTGGACACATAACGTTATGTGTACATTCTGTAAAACAAAATCAATTAAGATACAACAACTCAGATTTAAATATAGTTTAACCAGAAACATATAAACCCAGTACCCTGGTGTCATCGGTTTTCGACGGTGTAACAGCAAAATCGCTTTTTACCAACCATGTGAAATAAATTTATTCCAAGCCTTACCAGTTAAGTCATTTACTATTATTGCCCTAATTTTATAAAAGATTGATTATAATATTTGATAATACATTGCTAGAAAATGTCAACAAACATGGAAAAGTCATTTTAAACTGTTTAAAACAGTTCCAAGATTTTTCAATGTTAACACTTTTTTGTTTTCATAGCAAGGAAAAGTTACTGCTCAGCCCTCTCCCTGGTACGATCATGACAGAAGAAATTGTCAACAATTGTTTTTCCTCTTTGTTGACTTTTTACCTAAAATAAGGGAAAATATATTTTATTTATGTCTCCGAATAAAAGGAAATGAACTTATTCAACAAGATGTCGGTACGGAAGCAAACTACATTCTGTGAATCGCGCACGCAATGATAAGCTGACATCTCTTGGCTTACATACATTTTTTTTCCGAACTGAGTCTCCGCCCACATTTGTCACATGATTTTGAAGGAGCTGTATGACAGCAAAGCAGACGAGAAGTCACAAACACTTTCAGGCTAATTTCATGGGTTTTTAAGGGTGTTAAACTTGGTGTAATTTTGGAATTATGCAAAACGGGGTTTAAACACTACGTTGTGCTAAAAATAGAAGTTACATCCTCAAAAATTAAACTCAAAGAAAGTGTTGATAAAACTCTGCATGATGTAATTCAGGAAGAATTCCATGTGACGATTACCCCTGGTAAACCACAGTATTTATGTTTGACATGTGCATTATCGGTCCAATCCATGGCCAAATCGATCGAGGCAAAATCGGAGGCGTGCAAGAAACTAAAAACTAGTGCAGAGCCTTGTAGATACCTTGCCAAGAAATTGAGGAGCCCAGTTCCAACTCCACGCCAAATTTAAAGGCCAGACTGACCTCGCCGACAAAAATAACTGTTGTGATCTGTCACAATTAAAAGCTTTATTTTTACACTATGAAACTCAAGTTTTTACAAAATTTAATGTTGACACAGCTTTTTACTTAGTTCCATTGCAAATAAATTCATCATCCAGAAGTAGGGGTGGCAACGTGAAAGTCATAGAGTGTACATGTACTACTATATTTCTGGATTTCCAGACCCCCTCTTTTTGTTAATTAGTCACTCCCATGACCTACAAAAAAGGCATTCACTCATTGTGGGAAATTCGAAACGATTGAAAACCTAAAACTCTATTTACGGAATTTAGCAGCTGTTGGTGATTACAAGAGCGAATTTGGATCAATAAATAATCCATTTATCGATATATATGAGTTATGTGTTGTGTCATAGTAGATTTTTGTTGTCAGCACCTCATAACTCTCCGATACCAAACGGTGTCGGAGAATTCCACGTTTTCATATAGCAGTGTGCTCTTGCCCAACGCCAGGCATTTATCTGTCAAAATGTCCAAGTCTGGTGTCAGGGCCAGAGGAAACTTGTGCTAGCTGTCACTAATTAATTACTGCACTGGGATTAAAATCACTACGTGTGACAATTAATTAGAAGCTCACCATGTACATGGCCCAATTTCCTTGTGGTATTAACAGTCTGTGATGTTAACTTTTTTCCTCACTAGTCATTTGGACTAGTGAACCCAGAATTTTGATAGCATGACTGAATTTGATAGTCCAGCATTAAGTGTAAATTGTGATCTAAATTTGAAAATTATTAGAAATCAAAACAAAACTCTCAATAACTATAGAAAAGGAGCACAGAACGTGATCGCCAATGATCTCTAATACAGTAATACTGTTGTTTCCATCGTGTTAGAGAATCTTTTTTGTCTGTTCACGGACAGGCTTAGCTGGTTTTGAACCTTTCCTCCAGCTTAGCAAAATCACCATAGCTGGTTTCACGTGGTTATAAACCAGAAGTAAAGTTTGGTAACTACGAAATTCCGGAACCCAGTTTCACTCATCGAAACGCTTCAATTTTGAACGCTATGACGAGTACCATATTTTACGATAGGATTAAAACTTGTGACAAGCTTTATTATGCAAAATGTATACAATTAATAACATTTCCATTATTTTGGAGGAAAATTGCCACTAGTCCAGTCGGACTAGTTGAATAATTTCAATACTAGTCCAGACTTAAATTTACTAGTCGTGGGCATCGGACTGTATTAATAACTGTAAAAACATAAAAAACATTCAATCAGTGTACCAAATCGATAAATTTGTCTCGGGCGATACTGATGTTACTATTTTTACAAATACTGTGTTGGGAGCGTTCTTCTATTGTATCCAATGTCTGGGGAAAATGTTGATACATCTACTAACTTGCGATCAATTGTCATATTTTAAAATGTAAATATATTTGGTATATTTATTTATCTTTTCAGTATGAATGCTGATATACCAGAGAAACCAGAAAGTCCCCCACAGCCAGAGAAATCTGAGGTATTGAATTTGAATGTCACCCTCCCCTTAAAAATGCTGGCGTATAGTGTTAGCTTTGTCCGTCCCATACTAATGCTTTATACCCACCGTGATTCATTGTCATGGCTCTACCACTTTCCTTTTTGTGTCGCGTTTTGCAACGCGAGTAGCTGCAGGAACCGTAGCTTCTAGGCCCGATCTTATGGTCCGATAACAATTAAAAATAATAATAATAAAAAGATTGGTCCTAGAAGCTAAGGTTCCCGCAGCTACAACGTGAGGTGACATAAATGTAATTCTTTGTTGGTGTCATCGTTGTTGGTTGCGTTGTCCGAAACAAGGTTTCCATGCAATAGCTTGAGTTCCCTTGGATTTATTTAACTCAGACTTCACACAGTGCTTCCTTACCAATATTGCTTACTTGGGATGGCTTTTCAGGTCCGAAAGTCAAGGTCACCATTACTATAGATATAAAATCTGTTTCCGTGCAATACATTGAGTTTCTTTAGGTCGATCAAGCTCAGACTTCATGCAGTGCTTTCCTACCAATAGTGCTCACTTGGGATTGCTTTTTAGGTCCAAAGGTCAAGGTCACCCTTACTATAAATAGAAAATATGTTTCCGTACGTTAACTTGAGTTTCTTTTGGTTGATTGTATTCGCACTTCATACAGTGCTTTCTTACCAATAGTGCTTGCTTGGGATTGCTTTTCATGGCCAAAGGTCAATGTCGCCATTACTATAAATAGTAATACTATAAATTGGGCTGATAAACCTCAAAACTTCACACTGGCTGCAGGCTACACATCCACTCCTGTGGAATTCTTGTTTAACACATTTTTATTAAAGTTTAAACAAGGGCAAAGTATAAGAATACATAGATAAGTTCATATCTTAAAGCCTAAAGGTTAACATTAAGGTCACTGTTGCTATTTATAGGTCAACCATTGCTTTATTGTAAATAGATGCATTGTTATCAGCTTACTGACCTCAGGGGCAAGTGTGATTCATATCTTACAGACATTTTCTAATTTGTAAGTTAAGTTACTTTTAAAGGTTATACAGAAATTGGTAAAAGAGGTCAGCATGGTGAACTATGTTTCTGATTGAGAGTGTTACTGTTTTTTGGATCCTGCAGATTAGTGAAAACATTTTTGAATGAGGGGTGCATACTTACCAACTCTGTATTTTGAAATAAGACTCCTGATTTTGGACCTTGAAACTGAGCATTTTCAACCAATTAATTTGTTAAACTATTCCTATATTCTAAGATCAGATTATTTCATCTGAAAGAACAACTCAAAAAATGGCCTTCTAAAGTATTCTTTTTTCCCTGGAGTGTATAAACACACAGTTCATTTATAATATGAAAACAATTTGAAGTCATTGGTGCTTTTCAGTCCCCAGAGCCTGAAGAGATTCCGACAACCACACCAGAGCCTGCCCCGAAACCTGAGGAAGAAGCCGAGAGTGAGGAGAGTGACTTGGGTAGGTATAAAACCACAAGAGGGTAAAACAATTGAAGAACAATTGTTGAACAAACTTGTGATATAGGTGCAAATGTTGTATGTATCGAGAGGAATCCTGGTTTACAATGTAAAACATTTTATTTATATTTATGTTGAAATGATTAAAACACCATAATTAAGCGTTTCATTTGTCGATGAATTTGACCAAGTGAATATTGCCTGTGTGTATGAACTTGTGATTGATTTCACAATATAAAGTTGTTATTAGTATACAGCATCAGTAGAAAGTTTTAAGTATATTTCAGTATTCAAGTAAGTAATATTGACAGGTAAGTGACAATCAATATGTATACTTAAACAGGCTCCAGTACATCTATTACCCAAGGGTATGATATCACCAATTTATACGTAGACTTGAACAGGCTCCAATATATTTATTGCCCAAGTTATCACAACTTAATAGGTAAACTTAAACAAGCTCCAGTTTATATATTGCCCAAGAGAATTATATCACCAGTTAATACATAGACCTAAATAGACTCCAGTATATCTATTGCCTAAGTGTATGATATCACCAATTCATACATAGACTTAAACAGACTCCAGTATATTTATTGCCTAAGTGTATGACATCACCAATTTATAAATAAACTTAAACAGACTCCAGTATATCTATTGCCTAAGTGTATGATATCACCAATTTATACCTAGACTTAAACATACTCCAGTATATGTATTTCCCAAGGGTATGATATCACCAGTTAATACATAGACTTAAACAGGCTCCAGTATATCTATTTCCCAAGGGTATGATATAACCAGTTAATACATAGACTTAAACGGGCTCCTGTACATCTATTTCCCAAGGGTATGATATCACCAGTTAATACATAGACTTAAACAGACTCCTGTATATCTATTTCCCAAGGGTATGATTTAACCAGTTAATACATAGACTTAAACGGGCTCCAGTATATCTATTTCCCAAGGGTATGATATCACCAGTTTATACATAGAATTGGAGACCCATTTCACTCCTGAATGTCTCTTACAAAATTCTATCTACATGCTTGGCAAATAGAATGAAAAAAAATCTTGCTATTAAAGCTGATTCATGAAAATCAGAAGGGGTTCCTATCTGGTACTTCACCGTAGATATATAGGGGAAAATACCCGACTACTTTATGAGATCTTGTATTATACTGAAAAAAATCACACACCAGGAATTCTTTTACTGATCGATTTCAAGAAGGCATTCGATTCGGTGTCCTGGCAATTTATGTATAATGTTCTAGAGTTTTTAGCTCACCTGCCCGAAGGGCAAGTGAGCTTATGTCATGGTGCGGCGTCCGTCATCTGTCCATCTGTCCTCATCCGTCAACTTTTCCTTCAAACAACTTCTTCTGAAGAATGGACAGGCCTAGAGTCATGATATTGGCTGAAAGCTTTGTTGGTAGGAGCCCTACAAAGATTGAGAACGAAAATGACCTTGACCTACTTTCAAGGTCACAGGGGTCAAATATGTCAAAATCTTCAAATGACTTCTTCTGAAGAACTTAAAAGTATATAATCTTCATATTTGGCTGATGGCTTCCTGGGATGGAGCTTAACAAAATTTGAGAATGAAAATAACCTTGACTTACTTTCAAGGTCACAGGGTCAAATGTGTCAAACACTTCAAAGGACTTTTTCTGAAGAACTGAAAGGTATAGAATCTTTATATTTGGCTGGTGGCTTCCTGGGAAAGAGCCAATCAAAGTTTGAGAATGAAAATTAGTTTGACCGATGTTCAAGGTCACAGGGATCATATATGTCAAAAGCTTCAAATGACTTCTTCTGAAGAATTGAAAGGTATAGAATCTTTATATTTGACCGATGACTTCCTGGGATTGAGCCTGACAAAGTTTGAGGATAAAAATGACCTTGACCTTCTTTCAAGGTCACTGGGGTCAAATGTGTCAGAGACTTCAAACGACTTCTTCTGAAGAACTGAAAGACATAGAATCTTTATATTTGGCTTGTAGGTTCCTAGGAAAGAGCCCAACAAAGTTTGAGAATGAAAATGACCTTTAACTACTTTTAAGGTCACATGAAGCAGATATGTCAAACACTTCACAACTTTATCTGAAAAACTGGAAGTTATAGAACCTTAATATTTGGCTGGTGACTTCCTGGGATAGAGCTCACTAAAGTGTGCAAATTAAAATGACCTCAACCTACTTAAGAAGTCACAGAGGTCAACAACATTTTAATGGATTTGTTCTTAAGAACTAAAAGGAATGGATTCATAAGATTTGGCTGTTAGCTTTTTGGAATAGAGCTAACCAATTTGAGAAAGAAAATGACATTGACCTCCTTACAAGGTCACAGGGAAAAATATGTCAAGCAACTTCTGAAGAAGAATAACAAAGCATAGAATCTTATAATAATATTTTGCTGGTAGTTTCAACAGATGGATCCAACAAAGTTTGCGAGGGAAATATTTTTAGTGCAATATAATATTTAATGAGACTATTTTGCTATGACTGCTTAAATATTCAGGTGAGCGATACAGGCTCTCTTGGGCCTCTTGTTTAAGTTTGGTCCTGAATATATTAAATGGATAAGCGTTTTGTATAACGACGCTAAATTATGTGTACTCCATAAAGGGAAACAAAATAGTTTTCTCACTTACCGGTAATGATACCATAGCTTATTTACCAAGTCTTGTGTATTTATCAATATATGCACCTATAACTTGTACCTAATTTGATTGCTGCCCAAGATGTGTATTAACCAATTTCGAATAATTCATTCCAACTCCAGACCGCAATTTTACAGTCACAAATATACAGGTACTACTTGTGTAATGCACATCTCGGATGGGAAGTCAAAAATTCTCCTGAAATATCCATAGTACGAGAGCAAGAATGTATGGAAGGTGTTTTGTGCTGTCTTTTTTTTTTTTTAAACATGTAAAAAACAAATAAAGATGTTAGAGAAAAGATTATTTTTTTAATTCAATTCCAGACAAAAAATAACTTTAAAGTCCACAAATTGATTGTGAAACTAGATTGCCATTTTCCTGGTTCTGTATAAAACCTTTACAGAGACTTTCCTTGACCCTTGATTAAACCATGGTAGATATCCTCTATTTATAGAACTGGACTTGCAGGACGTAGTAGAGGACGATGACGAGGACATGCCAGAGTACGGAGACGAGACCATTGAGGTTACTGAGGAGATGATGGATGATGCCAATGACAAAAGGTCGGAAGCCATGGCTGCCATGTCTGATGGTAAGAAATAGTTTTATTTTTATGTTGTTATCAGGTTGTGATAAAAATCTGCACACAGTATATATTTTGCAGAAAGCCCATGGGAGGGGGTTGGGGGCAATACAAAATTTCTAACTCAGCTTATATGGATTTCTAAAAATCAATAAAATATCCATGTGTCTTCTTTTGATAAATATACCAATCAGAATGTGAGACTGGCTGAGCTGAGAGATATAAGAATATACTTGCTCCTTGCATTACTAAGTGGTTGGATGCATGTCCTTTCTATGACCCGTGGCCTGCAAAATTAAACAGAGGAGAGATCTTGTGGCAAGACCATCTAGTCCTAAACCCCACCCCCATATGGCCCTGTGAATTAATGTTTATGTTGATAGGGAACCTAGGGACCATACACATACATATGTATAGTGCCTTCTATAGTACATCTTCTCTGATAGATGTTATTATAATGAGATGCAGGCAGATCCCGTATATGCTGTGGAAACCTGTCTAATATTTTATATGAAACTTGAAGAAAAAAAGGAAGGGTAGATGAGGAAAAGTTTTAATTAGTTTTAGATTCTACCAAGGTTATAGAAAGACAACTGATTTTACTCATCCTTCCTTGGAAATGCCCTTAAAACTGCACAGTCAGCACAAAGTTACAGGTATATGTAGATCTAGCTGGACCACACGCATACAGTAGTTTATATTTTCATTGTCATATTTCAAATTATACAAAAATACCTGAACAAAGTTGCATTTCAAGGTTGTGAGCTCAAGGCTAAGGTCAAGTGTTGTATGACAGAAAATGTTGTCATTGTGCTGTCATCATCTTTAATCATCAGATTCCGATGCAAGTTCGCACAAGTGGTCAGTTATCAAAAATAAAATTCACAAAATTAGGAATGAGTTACCATATTTCCAGGTACTAATCCGAAGGTCAAGGTCACTATAAAAAAATGTATTCCCAATATGTTGCTTTACTTAACAGGTAAACTAGAAGAAGCTGTTAATATCTTTACCGAAGCTATCAAGTCCAACCCAATGTCTGCCCTACTTTATGCCAAGAGGGCCAGGTAAGTCGGTCACTAGTCTACCTTGCTACTTTCAATAATCAGATTTGTTTAATGACTTACAAATGCATCACTAGCTGTATCTCTTTGGAGCTGCGTTTGTTTCTCCGATAGTTGAACATGTGCGTGTACATATTGTAAATTATTGAATCAGTTCATATTCTTTTACAAGTACAATTTTACTGGAGTTTGATCATTTTTTTATTACATAATTTCAAAAGCTGTGATCATCTCCAGACTAGACTGCTAGGAAACCTTTGCCCATCTTTAGATCACTAAGTTTTGAAAACTGTGTTCATCTTTAGGTTACGCTTGAGTGAAACAGGTGGTCCCTTTAAATCACACTTCAAAATAGATTTTGGGTTTATCAACATGTTTCAGCTGTTATCCTAAATTTGTCTACATAGCAGTTCAATCGTTTCAATCACATATAATACAGAAGATGTTCCTAGGCATTGAGAATCCATTAAAGAATATAACAGTTGTGAAAGTTATCATTTTTGTCTCGCACAGTGATAAAATGATATAATAGTTGTGACAGTTATTTTTTTTGGCCCACACAGTGATGATAAGATATAATATTTGTGAAAGTTATCATTTTTGGCCCACAGTGATATTATAATATAATAGTTGTGACAATTATCATTTTTGGCTAACACAGTGATATTATAATATAATAATTGTGACAGTTATCATTTTTGGCTAACACAGTGATATTATAATATAATAGTTGTGACAGTTATCATTTTTGGCTAACACAGTGATATTATAATATAATAGTTGTGACAGTTATCATTTTTGGCTAACACAGTGATATTATAATATAATAGTTGTGACAGTTATCATTTTTGGCTAACACAGTGATATTATAATATAATAGTTGTGACAGTTATCATTTTTGGCTAACACAGTGATATTATAATATAATAGTTGTGACAGTTATCATTTTTGGCTAACACAGTGATATTATAATATAATAGTTGTGACAGTTATCATTTTTGGCTAACACAGTGATATTATAATATAATAGTTGTGACAGTTATCATTTTTGGCTAACACAGTGATATTATAATATAATAATTGTGACAGTTATCATTTTTGACTAACACAGTGATGATATAATAGTTGTGAACGTTATCATTTTTGGCTGACACATTGTTGATTCCTTTCTAATATTTTCAGTATTTACATCAAAATGAAGAAGCCAAAGAAAGCCATCCACGACTGTACTAAAGCCATATCTCTCAATCCTGACTCTGCCCAGCCCTACAAATGGAGAGGCAATGCCTACAAGTATGTATTATGTAAAACATGGGTATTTTGGTTATGGAAATATTTTGATGATGTCTTAAGAAATTGTCGAAATTTTTCACATTTATATACGATCTTACATGAGTTTCCATTTCATATGAGATTTATGAAACGAGTTTAAGAATTTTTCAATTTAGACGAGTTTCATAAATTTCATATGAAATGAAAACGAGTGTAAGATTCTTTTTATCACATAATCAATATTTGTGGCATTTATTCATGTAAAACGACAATTTGTATGCAACCTTAAAATGTAACAATTCGCCATTTTGACTCTAGTGCGTAAGTCTGTGACATCATGTACTTGTCCTAGAGTGACGTCACAATTGAAACTTACAACCAATCACAGGGCTGATAGGTCATATTACATGGGTTAATACATAAGAAAACATGACATGGGTATATTCACTGGATAACAACGTGCACTATGTGATAAAATAATGTTCCTTGTGTATAAAATTTTGCCATCACAATTCCTTGTTCTCATATTAATAGATTTCCAAATCTTTTTCAAAGTAATCCTTTATTTATGTTCGCTTGTTAGGACCTAAACTTGTATGCAATTTTGTGAATTGATTTCCCTATTAAAAGATCAACTAAATTTGATACATAACTATGTAAAGGGTTGCATGTTTTTATATGAATATTGACATTTTTTTTTCATCTTTTGTTTTTTTATGCGATACTGATTGTTGACAGGATGCTGGGGAAGTACGAAGACGCCTACCACGATCTCACTATGGCCTGTAAACTGGACTTTGATGACCTTGCCGATGAACTATTGCATGCTGTTAAACCCAATGTTAGTAAAACTGATATCTAAATATATCCAAAATATTTAAAGTTCTTGATCATTTTGTCATACAGAACTTTACATTTATGTATAGTTTTAAGAGCTTGTTGTTCGAAGACTGCCTCTTATTAATGATGGGACTTGTATCGTTAATAAAAATAGAGGTTGTAATGCCATCTTTTATACTGATGGGGTTAGTGTTGATTGTGCCTTGTTATTTTGTTGAGGAATGACTACTTCCTGAATTTGAAATATTGGTGAGAAATACAAGACAAGTAAAAACAATATTGAATTTTCAATATTTATTAAGAATTCAGATTTTTTTCTTTTTCAGGCAATGAAAATTATGGAACACAAAAGAAAGTATGAGAGAAAGAGAGAAGAAAGAGAAATCAAAGCTCGCAAGGAAAGACTACGCAAGGCAAAGGAAGAATATGAAAGACAAAAACAGGTATTATGTCCTTCTATAGTGTGTTTCTCTTTACACAAACTATCAATTTTTCTCGTCACAAGTTTTCCTATACACGATCCATAATACTTTCTCAGCAAATTTACCTTTACGCAAATTATCACATCTTCTGTATCACACCTTTCTCATCACGAGATATTCTTTATCACAAGTTTCTCTATACACAAAATATTGCATCTGTCTTTACACGAGTTTCTTTATGCGAAAAATCATCACATTTTTTTCATTATATGTTTCCCTTTATGCAAACTGTATTGATATTTCTTTGCAAGAGTTTCATTTTATGTAAAATATTGCATCTTTCCAGACATGGAAAGATGCATTATTTTTCATTTTTAGCTCACCTGCTCGAAGGGCTAGTGAGCTTATGCCATGGTGCAGCGTCTGTCAACTTTTCCTTTAAACAACTTCTTCTGAAGAATGGACTGGCCTACAGTCATGATATTTGGGTCATAGCTTTGTTGGTAAGAGCCCAAGAAAGTTCGAGAACGAAAATGACCTTGAGCTACTTTCAAGGTCACAGGGTTCAAAAGTATCAAATACTTAAAACAATTACTTCTGATGAACTGAAAGGTATAAAATCTTAATATGTGGCTGGTGGCTTCGTTGGTAAGAGCCATTCAAAGTTTGAGAACGAAAATGACCTTGACCTATTATCAAGGTCACAGGTCAAATATGAAGGTCACAGTGGTCAAATGTGTCAAATACCTAAAACAACTTCTTTTGAAGAACTGAAAGGTATACTATAGAATCTTACTATGTGGGTGGTAGCTTCGTTAGGAAGAGCCCAACAAAGTTTGAGAACGAAAATCACCTTGACCTACTATCAAGGTCTCAGGGGTCAAATATGTCAAACACTTCAAATGACTTCTTCTGAATAATCTAAATGCATAGAATTAAAATTTGTCCGGTAACTGTCACAGATGTAGCCCCAAAACGTTTGCTATTGAAAATTACCTCAAACTATAACTACTTTCAAAAAGGTCACAGGGGTCAAATAAAGCAAAAACTGCAAACAGCTTCTTTTGATGGAGTCCTGATATTTAAGAAGTAGTTTCCTTAGATGGAAACCAACAAAGTTAGCGAATGAAAATGACCTTTACCTACTTTATCCTATAGATTTATCTTAATCTAATTTGATATAGAGTACCCTTGGCCCAACATGATTCAATGTTGTAGAAACCATGCCCCATCCCAATGGGGACAGGAGATTGGGATCTAATAAGGTAATGGTGTTACTGAGAAACAGAGCCAATATTTGGAATGCTTATAGTACGTACAGTATAGTATTTATTTAATATTTTGCTATGACTGCTTAAATATCCAGGTGAGCGATACAGACCCCTGGGCCTCTTGTTTTACTCTACAAGAAGTACAGCTGTATCATAATTTTTTCTGCATGAATTTCCCTTCTACACAAGGTTTCCCATCTTTTGAGTTACATCCTATGAATATTTGGAATAAAGATAATCTTAATTAATTAATGGGAATTTGTTTTGATATTTAAATAGAGTTATACATCCATGATTGTCACTTTTGAATGGACTGAACAAGTTAAGTCTGATGCATTCTGTCAGTGTTAAATGTTTCTAAGAAAAAAAAGAGACAATATAAATGTGAATGGTTGTTATGTATCTTGATTAGAATGATGAATGAGAGTGGAATTTTAAGCTTGAATCATTCAAAGATCACAAACCTATTATTTCAAGTATGACATCTTTGTGGCTGTTTTTTAGTCTGATATTTTACCTCCTAGCAAAGCTCCGGATCTAATACTGGTTCTGCTGGAGGTTTCCCCGGTGGATTTCCTGGTTTCCCTGGAGCAGGAGGTGCAGGAGGATTCCCTGGGGCAGGTGCTGGTGGATTTCCTGGGGCAGGGGGTTTCCCAGGAGCCGGACAGTTTCCTGGCCCAGGAGCTGGAGGAGCGGGTGGATTTCCCGGAGGATTCCCCGGGGCTGGTATGTTTATAGTCACTACAGATGTCTGTCAGGTAGATGAACAGTAATACAGAGTGAAATTTTTGTTGCTTGTGACATAGTAATACATATATAGGATATTTTAATTTAATTTGTATTTAAATGGTTTGATCTTCAAAAATTCTTGCAGGGGTCAAAACTGGGTTTTTTTGCCACTTAGATAGTTTTTAAAGTTATGAAAAATTTCAATCACTAAATCAGAAACTCTCTTATAAGGACTTCTGGCATTATGCATCATTTTTGGCCATCAAAATGGCAAATTTTCAACCGTATATTGTGCAACAGACGATATTCAGGCATTTTGTTTCGAAATTGTGGGTTTATGTCTCCTATGTAATGCCATCTCCTTAACTAGTCGTCGAATGAATTTGCAATTTCATATTTATGTACTTCATTTATTCCAGATTACGAATATAACCTTTAGTTCTAAATACCCAATGACGTCATAAATGACCCTTAACGCCCTAGTCCTTTAACTCATTCACCACTGAAATTTCATAATGAACTATTCCAACCTTTGAATTGGAAGAGTTCAAATGTGTCTTCAGGGGTGAATGGGTTAATGTTATTTTCATCAAATATAACATGAGTGAACAACTGAACAAATAAATCTGAAAATAGATACTCTTCGTGAAAGACAAACCGTCAGTGATACATAAAGACTTTACACTTAGTTTTTGAACAACATCTTCATGAATATCAATATTAAACTTCACGGAAAGGCAAGCAAATCTACTTTTAAAGAAGAAAATATAAAATGTGGAAATATTGGCTTTGTGACTTTTCAAACTGATTGCAGTATAGATTTTTTTGTTTTGGCAAGGGGTCTGATATCTTGGTCCATCATGATATTCTGAAATCTTGGTCCATCATGATATTCTGAAATCTTGGTCCATCATGATATTCTTTACATGTTCAGGTTTGGATATTTTCACAGTAATTTTCTCAACATACAAAAACATGTTTATTTCCACACTGCAATAAGTTTCCACTTTTATAGTACTTTGCAAGAGAGCTGCATATGCATACTCCTAAAACTATCACACATTCTGCCAATAGGTATGTGTACAGGTTAACCCTGGCTTCAATGTACTGTGTTGTTCATATGTGAGAGGCAGTAATTTCACACAGACCCTGAAAAAGCATTAGTTACAAGGCTGACCGTCTCTAAAAATGTCTCACGTTTACATATATAGGTCAGTAGTTGGGTAATGGTTAGTTTTTAAACACTATTCAATCGAAATGTAATTTGTAGAAATTATATGGGTTTGTCTGGAATCAAATGAGGTAGGTCGGAGGCACCTATGGAATTGCCTTATTGTTAGTGGGTTAAAAACCAAATCTGCCCACCATTTTAAATCACTTAAAATTTGATGGGTGGTAGGGTTTGTGAACAAGTACCTCCCACCCTTCCCACACACTTGTTTCTGCAGCAACTACATGTATAATGATATCTTTGTGTATTTGTATTAAATAGGTGCTGGTGGTCCAGATCTTTCTAGCATACTCAATGATCCTGAAATCGTACAAGCTTTCTCAGTAAGTACCTATGTGTTGTAGATACATTTATGGATTTCAACAGTCTCACAAATCTAGAAATCACACGAGCTTTCTCAGTGAGGTTTGACAAAGTGTAGCGTGTATGTTATTGTGAGTGCAAATTGATTTTATGTGAATCATGGAAGTGCAGATCTGTAAAAAGCCTTTTGGTGTTTTGTAAATATACTCATGGATTTTGAAGATGAGATGTTGCTCAAACCATAATCCATGATTTCAAATTTCACCATTTCAATAGAACAAACAATGAAAATTTTATCCTAAAAAATCAATTGTGTATAACATTATGCGCACCTTATTTTCAAAATGATCAGCTCTGAAGTTCGAAAGTATGAATTTCCTCTTTGTATGTAAAAATAATTTTACAAAATTTTAGTTAAAATTATTTTTATAGGAAACAAAGGCTGGTGAATCTATCAGCAATAAAATTATGAACTTTGATCTTATATTTGGCATATTATGGGATGTCTATATCTGGAGATTGTTTTCGTGGTTACAGGACCCTGAGGTGGCAGCAGCATTCCAGGACATTAGTCAGCACCCAGAGAACCTAATCAAGTATCAGAACAACCCAAAGGTCCAGGCCCTCATCAACAAGATGAGCTCCAAGTTTGGTGGACCCAGAGGACAAGCAGGAGGACCGGGGGCGCCACCGATGGTTAGTCGGAGCAATATTTTATTAGATTATGTAGAGAAACTGACCAACCAGTCTTGACCTTCAAATGTTTTCAATGATCAGATCATTATAAACAGTTATTAAATATTCCATAAAATCAATTTGAAAGTGATTAAATTGAGAAAAAGATAGCAAAGTTTTGGGGAAAACATTGAAATTAAGGTATTTTATGTGCAAAAAGTCCTTTGATCAAACCTTGTGAAAGCCAAGAAAAAAGTGCCTTTGTTCCAGGGAAACATTGTTTGTGCTATCACTTTGACTAATGTGGTGTATCTTTGTGTTGTGTTTCAGTGAGGTGCGATTTCACAAGGTAGTGACTAAAAGTGACATTTTTGGATGTTCCGGAACTATGGACAGGCTTGGTGTCACAGACGTTTGGTATTATGTCGTCCAGAGTGGACATGTTTACATGAATTATGCATAGATGATTTAACATATGCACAAGAAGTGGAAACTGAAAGTGTTTCATACAGTGTTCCATATAATAAGGATGCATAAGTACCATGTTCACTTTCATTTCCAAGTTGTAATGTTTTGAATGTAAAAAGTTCAATACTTTCTCTCTGTAGATATTTTATTCTTGGGGGGACATGATAACAGCATATTTCCACAGATCATTATTAAGCAGAACTGTAGTGCATCATACCTATTTCATCAGTATTCCGTCTTCAAAATTCAAGGGTTCCGCTCTAAATACACTTAACAAACAACACCCTTGTAATATGTCATTACAAAATAAAAGGTTCTAAAAGAGAATGTCTGCACTGATTGAACTAATAAGGTTATATTCATAGGTAAATTCACCACTTTACAGAAGTTTAACATTTGCCGTCCTGGTGAAATTGAAGGGCAAACTGCGCTGGACATCTGTTAGTGCGACAACATTCCGTCGTTGCTGTGGTCCCATTTAGTTCATATGTTTATGACCTGGTTTCCACACTATGATCTTTAGCCAAGATTTTAGCAGAGTTCTCTTGCTCTTTGGGAATGCATTTTTGTTTAGTTAACTGAGGAAATACATCTATCACCTCAAAGCTATTTTATGGTTGGGTTAAACAAGAGAAGTAAAACGTTTATACAAACTTACAGTATTCATTTCTTTATAGCACAGGTAAATAGTTTTAGGATCATTTTGGCAACTTGGTGCTCCTAACAAGAGAAGAGTACATTTTATGTACAGCTAAAATAGAAGAAACAATATCACGGGAGAAATGGCTACTTGTATATTCTGTTCTTTTTTTGTTTCATAATTCTCATTAATGAATTCATACTTCAGCTTCAGATTTTGTTGTCATCTTGTTCTCGTGGCATAGCAGTTATTGTGTAACTGGGTTGGTCACAGTTATTGGAGGTAAAAGATGAAAACTGTAAAGCAGCATTTATTTTGTCTTTCACTTGAGACTTTTATTTTATTTAGTAATCCGTCTAGGGAATGTGCTCTGTTGTGTCATATGTAAAGGTATGTGAAGTTTTTGTCTACTGAAAAGTACTCAAATTAGAATTGAGGCATTTATTTTATCACTACTGTATCATGTATATACATTGTATCTATAACCTGAATTGTATTGATTTGTTTCTGATTTGTATCGGTTACCAATATTTTATTTTGTCCAATAGCATCAGTAGGATATAGCATCAGTAGGATAGTCATTTCATGTCTGGTTTATATGATTCAGACAATTTATCTCAGTTATGAGGTGCACAAATTAGGTGTTTATTCAACGATTCGAAAGAATAACAAGTGTACTAAAATTTCTGTTCAGGCAGAAATACATGTTATAAAGTAAAATGTAAGTCATATAGGTACAGACCTGGGATTTATTCTTGCTAAAATAAAAAATAATTTTAGTGTATCAATATCACCAAATTTGTCACTGTGTATGCTAGCAGACTTGTGAATTTTGTTAGTTTTGTACAAAAAGAGGACACATCAGTTTGGTCTACTGGTCATCAAGTAGTGGGTAACGGTACTGGATTGGTGTTTGAAACTCCAGGAGATATTGGTTGACATGAGGTATTATATCATTAATTGAAATATTGATATTAAAGATATGAGTGCTTGCTGCCATCATTTAGGATGTCAAGATTTAGCCAAAACAAGGTTATTTAGAATTGTTTTAACTACGTGTATGTAATTGATGACAATTCACTAATTTTTGTAATACATGCATGTCTCACTTTCTCATCTAAAATAAGAACTAAGAACTGTTTGGGATATGTTTCATCCTAATTTTCCGGTCTTTATTTACAACTTCCGGGTACTTTATAAACATCCATAGACAATAACATCCCTCTCAAGGTATAACAAGTTTTCAGTTTTTCTCAATAATTATCCCTCCTTCTGATACATTGTGTATTTCTGTCCCAGACACTGTCCAGTATATTAACTGACTGCTTTAGAAGTTACCTAGTAACACTCTTCTCCCTTCCTGTAGATGATGTAATTTCATTTTTTATTTGTGTGCCATTTTACACACTTGATAATTATTTCTTTTTTTAAGTATTGAATTATGAAAATTAAATCATTTTAAAAGGGTGTTGGATTTTTCTTAGTTTTGTACATGTGTCAGACATTTTAAGAAAGAGTTGATAATTAATAAAAATGTGGGCCTATTTCAGCCCTTCTTGAACGCCCATCAACACAATAGAGTTACACAGGGCCGGAATATATATATCTTATGGTCCATTTTAGACAATGTCATGCAGACCAACACAGTATATAGTAATCAGCAATCCATCATACAGGGTCACACGTGAGTTTTAACAACCCATCAACGCAATAAGATAATACAGGGTCACACGTGAGTTTTAACAACCCATCAACACAATAAGATAATACAGGGTCACACGTTAGTTTTAACAACCCATCAACACAGTAAGATAATACAGGGTCACATGTGAGTTTTAACAACCCATCAACACAGTAAGATAATACAGGGTCACACGTTAGTTTTAACAACCCATCGATGCAATAAGATACTACAGGGTCACACGTGAGTTTTAACAACCCATTAACACGTGAGTTTTAACAACCCATCAACGCAATAAGATAATACAGGGTCACACGTGAGTGTTAACAGCCCATCAACACAATAAGATAATACAGGGTCACACTTGAGTTTTAACAACCCATTAACACACGTGAGTTTTAACAACCAATGAAAACCGATAAGTCATGCAAGGCCATGCAGTAGTCGACACATTAAGTTATTCTTCGCCACAGTAGTGTTGACTGTCCACCAACACAAAGCCAAAACGATACAGGCAACACGTTGTCTGTGACTGATTGATATTGTCATCAGAATAGGATGATCACAGTACATGTATATAGATAAAGCAGTTACAGGTTATGCTAAGTCTGTCCATGGAGACTTACTTGCACACTTTCCATCTGTATTTGGGGTATTCAATGCATGTTCCATCGGTTAAAGACATGTCGTCTATAATGGCTGCAGCGTACACTTGCTTAATTTTTGGTCTACAGTCTATGAAAACATCGTTTTTGGTCTTCGTGTTAACGTTCACACGTGCGTGGAAGGTTATTGGTTCTGTCCCCTGACCGAGACAAAGCCATGTCTTTAAATCTGGAACTTGTCGGCCCGATGTCCGTGTAATGTGACTGGGTGTGCTCGTCTGCGTTACTGTGTCCAAAAACAGATTTCCGTTTGTGGTGACACTTATAAAGTAGAAATACGAGCCCCAACCTCGTGGGCACCGTCCTTAATTGACCTTACATGTAGCTGTGACTTTAACTAAACCCTATCAGATACAGTCTGTGTTAAATTTGAGTTCTATAGTGACTATTCTAGTAACGAGAACAGAAGAAACTTAACTATGAGCAGGATCATCCTCGATATCCAGGGGTTACGTTCACTTTCGCTCTCTACACCCCTGGAATATGTCATGGCAAAAATGAAGGCACGCGGCTAGCTATTTGATTAGTGTCGTGGTAAAAAAATATCGAAACGATCCTTAGCGCGAACGGGATTTAGGGCGAAACAACCCGTTAACGTTACCACCAATCACTAGACTGATACTTGTCCTTTGAAGATAACAGAGGAGTGAAGGCCGACTTCAAAGCCAGCATGTTTTACTGTTAAGCGACCGCGAGATTATTTTGATGTACATCAAAGGATCAAACTAGTCTTCTCGTCTCTCCCACAAGGATAAGCACACTGAGCCTTCGATTTTGCGATGACATATTCCAGGGATGTAGAGATCGAAATTGAGCGTAACCCCTGGATATCGAGGATGGAGCAGGATATGATAGCACATCTGAAATTGTTTTTCAGCCGGGAATACTACCCCGGGTTGTTTCCAGGAAGGTCAGTGAACCAGACGGTTCACAGTGTTATATCACCCAATGGGCGTTTTATCTACGATCTAAATCAGGAGTAATCTGTTACCATATAATTCAACCCACATAAATAGGACTCTTGCATTGGTAACCATCTACATTACTAAACCTCAATTTATCGATCATCTCTTTAGAATAATAGTTCGTGTTTCGCTTTTACTAACAGGTACCGCTACGACAGTTAACTGTTTTGTTTTTGTTCTATTGCAATATGAAATATTGCCATGACATATTGATGCCTTTATGTTACGTAAACAATTATGCGAGTGAATGCTTGAGAAACAAATGTTTCCTAATTAACGGCACGGGTGCATCGATATCAATACATCCACGCTTCATCTGTCCATCGTGGTTAAAATATTTGTAGTTCGTGATCCGTCACCGTGACCCAAAGTAACAGGATTGTGTGGAAACGGTACCTGTTGTTTACTCTTACTACACACGTAGTGACATGACGATGACATTTTCTGCTGAATCTCAATAGTTGAATCTTGAGTCAGTGTTACATTTCACCTAAAACGTCGTGTATTCTGGAGATAATTTGCGATAATATGTTGGTCGTACTTCGTCCTGTGGTTAACAGTAAATTACTGCTCCTTACAGTGCCACAAGAGGAACACGATTTGGTATGCAATGTCGATTTCGTCAGGATTTCATATGTTGGTCAAAAGAATCCAAGACAGTCGAACCCGAAGGATATACTTTAACAGAACCTCTTCCCCTACTATTTCAGAAGACGTTATACTGTAGCACCAGATCGGAGTATTTGGATCTGTAAATGTTAAACAAATTGTCTACCCTATTTGCACCACTTGCATTGATATTTGTATTTTAATGCTGGTGAGTGTTTTATGCATCCTCAATATGTAAATCACTTTCCTGGGTGATCGTGCTTAAGGCAGGTGTGGTACCTGGTACATGTTCCTTGCATTTCTTGTTAGTAGATGTCGGTGATACGCTCCTTTGCTTTGCAATTAGCAAGCACACAAATTCTATCAGCTCTACAATAGACAGAATGCTAGCTCCCAGGAACATTCCCATCTGCCCGCCAACATTTCCTACAAAAGAAAGGCAATATTTGATGCATTGAAGAAAGTATTCTTCAGCCGCATTTTCGAGACATCCCAGATCAAGAAGCAATATTGGCGTTAACGTTATGACAGATAAGATATGGGAACGTCGACTGATAACGGGTCTTTAGAGTTGTTTTTAGCATATGGTATTGATGTGTCCCTCTGTTAATATTCTATCTAGATTCCTTTCAAACTTTGTAGCACTTACGTGAAAATTAGTTCGCAGTCGCAGAAAGTGAGCATGTTCGTGTATTAGATACATTGTTTTGATTACTATTAAGTCATTGACCTTTCATAAGCGTTATAAAACTGTCCGAATTAACAGTTACTTAGATTCCATACAATTTCTGTAAATCTGATATTAAGGTTTACCAACGTATCGTTTGTAGTTGACCCAAACTACCAGGCGTATTGATATATAAACTTGATTTAATATTATTTTACAACAATTAGGAAACAAGTTATTTCAACTTATATTAATCACTCTTGTTGGCCAGGATGTAAGCGATCGTATCATCTTAATCAGGGGCGTTTCTAGGATATATGAAAGAGGGGGCGTAGAATAAAATCTGTCGCAGAGCGGAGCGAGGCGAAAAAACAATTTGGACCATTTTTTTTGCTAAAAAACATAAAATAATTGTGAAATGCACTAATGTAACGGTTCCTGACTAGGAGCATGTATATTTTATAGTTAAAGTGTCGGGTGTTTATGTGTTTAATTGATGAAAATGATAAATTGCCATATTCAATACAATATTAGCAGATTACGATAGGGGTTTTTTTGGGGG